CCCTTGGCTGGTGGATGGCAGGAGTTTCTGCATGTTTCTGGCTGCAACCTCGGGCTCTTTCCACCACCCTCTTTGCTACCAGCATTGCACCTATTCCTGTGTCTTGCAAGACTTGGCTGTCGTCCTCTGGTCTGGAGTGGCTGGCTCTCCTGAGGTCGTGCCTGGAGTCACACAGTGAGAGCTGCCTGCTGGTCTGGGCTGGCAGGGCTGGCCTGCACTCCTGGGTGGCTTCAGCCAGGACCTCCACTCACAGAATGGCTGTTGGTGTTCCATCCTGCCTGCTGCCTGCAGATTGCGTCTTTCCTCTGTGAGCTTCTGGGCCCCAGAGCAATGTCCCCAAGGCCACCAGGCTACAGCCCTCTCTGTGGTCTAGCCCTGCATGGTCCACATTCCCTGGACACCCTGGGCTCCGTCAGGCCTGCGTGACCTGCACAGATATCCTGAGCCTCCATCTGCCCCTGCCTTCCTTCCCTTCCCCACCTGGCTCCTGGTGTGTCCTTACAGAATGGCTCCCCTGGATTGTACTCTGATGCAGTGCTATTATAAGGAACAGACATTGGAAGCCCATTTATTATAAGGATCTCGTGTTATCGATCAGGACACACTCATTTTTCACAGGGACCCCTGGGAAAATTCTTGTCTCATGGGAGTGCCCAGCGGCTGTACCCTGGAGAAGCCGATCCTCTTCACTGTACATGCGTTGGGGACACTTGATGGACCGGTTCCCCTTTCACATTGGCTCTCAGAAAGTTCAGCGCCCCCGCTCTTCCCCAGCTGGCAGGCGCGTGGTCACGTGGTGCCTGGGCTCTGAGTGCCCGCCATTGATTTTTCTCCTCTCCCCCATTTTTCACTCCCACTCTCGCTGTTCTGTAAATCCCTACCAGCCGTCCGCAGAGCCCTTCTGGAACAAGGTTTGGTCTCGATCTATAAACCAATCAATACACAATAAAAACCCTTCCTCGTGGAGTTGTGGGGTGGATTAAATGGAATAATGGACATGAGTGCCGGCCTGGCTTGGCCCAAGGGGGCTGAGACGAGGGTCCCGCTGGAGGCCCTGCCTCCCCGGTACCCCACCCTCCTGACACTGGAGAGGCCTCCTGGGCACTGTCCCCACTTGCCCTCACCAGGCCCTCCCATGTCTCTGCGGGTAAAAGGTGCTGGCGGCTCTGTCCCTCTCCTTCCTCCCAGACCCCTAGACGCTGGCTGTCAGCAACCTTCCTCACCCCCTCCCTGAATTTCCGGCACCTCACTGGATGTGTGTCTTAGTCTGTTCAAGCTGCTGTAACAAAATACCAGACAGTGGCTGAGAAACATCAGGAATTTATCTCTGACAGTTGTGGGTGTGGAAGTCCATCATCAAAGTGCAAGAAGGTTCCGGGTGTGGTGGGGGCCTGCTGTGTGATTCTCAGATGTCGTCTTCCCACTGTGTCCTCCCAGAGTGACGGGGCAGGGCAGCGCTCAGGCTTCTTTTTAGAAGGACACTGATCCCAGTGCGGAGGCTCTGCTGTCCTGGCCTCAACCCCTCCCCAAGGCCCCGCCTCCTGACTCCAGCGCTGCAGGCCCAGGCTCCAACCTGGAACCTAGGGAGGACACAACATGGGACCCCAGCAGCGTGTCTTGCTGGGTAGTTGGCATGGGCGGGCCCGCGGGGCGGGGAAGGCTCAGAGCCTGTGTGGTCCGGCCTGTGCATTTGGCCAAGGTAGAGACCGAGACCCCAAAGAAGGAGTGACACAGCAGACCCCGTGCTGCTTCGGCTCACAGACACCCTGTCTCCGCACGCCCCTGCCTCCTCCAGGCTCTTGATGTCACTGCCCACAGTCATCCCCTGGGGACCCCGGACTGGTCATCAATTGCTGGGTATCAGTCACCTCAAAACGCAATGGCTTACAAGAACGGTCACTGTCTCCTCTGTTGGTGGCTGGGGTGCTGGCTTGGGGTTTTCATGAACTCCCAGGCAGGAGGCCGTGGGAGTGACCGTCTGGGCCCTCGAGTGAGGCAGGAGATGTGCTCCCAGGGTCACTCATGTGACTGACAAGCTGGTGTCCGCTACAGTGAGGAGGCCTTGACTCTTGTCCATGTGGCCTCTGCACAGGGTGGCCAGAGTGCCCTTGGAGTGTCCTGGAAGCTGGCCTCTCCTAGGAAGGGTGGCCCAAGACAGAGTGAGGGGCGGCCCTGGCTGCTGTGACCTGGTCTTGGCATTTTCCACTATTTGATTCTTCAGCAATGAGTTACTAACCCCTTCCCTCACTCAAGAGGAGAGGAATTAAGCTCCATCTTTTGGAAGGAAGAATGTCAACGAATTGTGAACATGTTTGAAAACCACCACAGCCTCCAATATGCACACATCAGCCACACCACACTGCGCGAGGGCCCCCGTCTGCCTATTCCTTCCTGCCTCCTGCCTTTGCACATGCTGTTCCCACTGCTTCGGGTGCTGTTCCCTCATTTCCAACTTATGTCTGCAAACTTCAACTTTCCAGGATCTGCTTCAGTGGAGTCACTTGCTCACATCTCTGGAAAAACTGCTCTTCCAGAGATTGTTGCAAGCAGCCGGGAAGCCTCCAGGAAAGCAGGTTTCAGGGAAGCCTCCAGGAAAGCAGGTTTCAGGGAAGCCTCCAGGAAAGCAGGTTTCAGGGGTGTCCCCAGAGGTCACCAGCTCTTGATACACATTTGCCTAGTGAAGGTACAGACCCGTCTCTGCCCTCTCCTGGGTGTGAGGGCTCAGGGCCCAGGATACCTCTGCGCCTGCAGGCCCAGCACTCTCACTGGTGCCATAGGTGGGCACCGTGCCAGGGTGGGTCTGTCCCGCGTCTGCCTTGGACCCCAGGAACGGAGGAACTCTCGCGGCCCCGAGACACCCACCCCGCATGCAGGCAGGGTCTTTGGCACCTTTGTGGCCTGCACTCCCTTGCTCCAAATCTAGCAATTTACCTGCCATGTCACTGGGCCCGGGCCAGCGTCTTTGAAGAAGATGGAAAGAACAGGTCACGGGCCGAGAGCCGAGAGCCACCTGGTGCCGACCAGCAGAAGGGCTGGGTGCGGCCAGGGCACTCTTTCTAGGAAAGGGAGGAATAGGTGACAAGAAGGAACAGGCGGGGACAGAGGGCCTGGTGGATTCCTGAGAATTCACCTTCACTGGGGGCTGCCCAACCTCGTGGAGTTCGGAGATCGTCTCCTCGACAGATGGCACAGGGGACCCAAGACACATGCAGAGGGCCAAGACAGAGCACCAGGTATGGGCTGTGGTGTCAGGAGAAGGACAGGACGGTGGAGACAGTCCTGGGGAGACAGGCTGGGAGACAGCGGCTGCTGAGTGAAGGGTCACACAGTCCCGGCTCAGGGCTGCGAGACTGTCCAGAAGTGGTGGCACAGTTTTAGGGAGAGACAGGCGTGTCCTCAAGGAGAGAGGGGACAGGACCCGGGTGCCGAAGGTGGTAAGATCTCACATGGCCAGGCCATTTTCTGAAGGCTCAGCTCTGGGGAGGAGATGGCCGGGCAACTGAGGGAGGGAGGGACAGGTGATGGTGCCGTCATCATGTGTGAGGTTGGGGTGGCCGTCACTTGCAGGGCTCTTACTTCCCCCTCGTGTATACAAGGAGGCTGGGGCTTGGGCAGAGGCGCAGCGGCTTGCAGATTCCTAGCAGACAGCTGGAGGGCCAACCAGAGGTCTGTCCTGCTGCCTCAGGACCCGGGAGGTCCCATAGCTCAGGGGGCAGCTTCTGGGATGGGGGCTGGAGGGGTGTTCTCACCTTCAGTGACCAGAAGGAAGGACTGGTCAAAGCCCAGGGTTAGATGTGCAGAATGACCAGCATTGGGTCCCACATCAGGACTCCAGCCTTTGGTCATCCACCTTAAGGACCAGGACGGTGTATCTGGGACAGTGGCCAACCTTGGGCAGGTTACTGATTGTCCTGGAACTCAGTTCCCTCCTCTGCCAAATGGGTGGGACAACAGTCCCTGCTCCCAGAGCAGCTGTGCAAGCCAAGCTCTGGGGCCTGAATGCCCGAGTTCAAATGCTGGGACCACCGCCTGCCAGCTGGGTTGCCTTGAAAAAACTGCTTAACTTCTCTGAGCATCCCTTTCCTCCTTTATAAAATGGGAATGGGGATTGTTTGTTCACACAGTTGGAGGGTCTGGTGAGGTGGCTCCTCTTGAGTGTGGAGGGGCACACTCGCTGGAAGGAAGGGCTGGCCTGGACTAGCCCGTTGTAAACGTCTGTGGGTGCCAGTGGACTGTGGGGAGAGGCGTGGAGAGGCGGGGGCTGGTGCCAGAGGCGGGGTCCTGCTAGGAAAGCTGGGGGAAGCCTCTGGAAGCTGCTCTGCAGCTCTAGGAGCGCTGTCCCCCCTCGCACAAGGACGCTGACAGGTGGGGAGTGAGGGCATCCTCAGCGAGCCCTGCTCTCCGACCTGGGGACAGCCCCTGGGCCAGTGGGAAGTGGGCAGTGGGACCTTAAGGCCATGTCCCTGTGTGTCCCTGTCCCCACTGGGCCCAGGCTCCCTTGGTACCCTGCTGCCTGCAGTCCCCAAGAGCGGGGGCTTTGGGGTTTGAGCCGGGGCGGGGCAGCACTGGTGGGCTACCCGTCTCCCTGGCTTCAGTTTCCTCCCAGTACAGCAAGCATAAGCCAGGGGGGTGCCCAGGGCGGGTCAGGTAATTAAAGGCTGTGTCCCTCCAGGGACAGGGGGCCTGGTGGAGTGCCACGGAGAAACCCCCTTTCTGGATCCTTTCCAGCCCTGGACCATGGGGTCTGACAGGGCCGATCACAGCTGCCCCGGGCTCCTCCATCTGCCCAGAGAAGGGAGGTAGCTGGGGACAGAGCTCCCTTCAGGACAGGGTGCCTCTCTCTGGCTCCATCATCCATTCAAAAAGTCCTTGCTGAGTGGCCACTGTGTGCCAGGCCCCGTCCCAGCCGGGTGTCTGGCCCCCGGCCTCCCTGGCTCACGGCGATGTTCTAGAAGACTCTCTTCCTGACCAGTGTTTTTCCCGCCTTGCTTCGTCCCCAGGGACCTGAGCGAGAACGCCCTCCAGGCCATCCCCAGGAAGGCTTTCCGCGGAGCTACAGACCTCAAGAATCTGTGAGTACAGACCTGGAGGGAGAAGGGCGCAGGGGCTGGGGCCACCCCACCCCCGGCAGTGTCCTGTGGTGATAGCCCTGGGCCCTGAGGTCCAGGGTATCGAGGAGCCAACCTGGGCTCTGAGATGGCTGGTGCCAGCATGGTCTTCTAGAACAGTCTGGGTTTGGTGGAAACAAGCAGCACCTGCCCCTCCCTCGGGTGATTCTCTGTGACAGCCAAGGGCACGTACAGAGGGGGACGTTGAGTGTTGCAGAGTCACGAACACTGGGTTACGAGGCCATGTTCTTGGTCTGGGCCCTCCAGTGTCCTCCTCATCCTCCGACTGGGAGAACTGGGCTGGAATCTCCAGTCACACGGCGTTTACTGCAGTCCTGTTAACTGCATGAGCCGCTGTATATTGTTCTGGAAATAAATGGGGATAATAAGCCTGACTCACAGGCATGTTCTGAGATTTAGATGAGATACAGAGATGCATACACTTTGTCAAGTGCTACTTAAATGTAACTGTTTATCATGCTCTTTAGTATTTTTGCAGTGCTGGAGGAGGACTCCAGGGGTGCTCTACCACTGAGCCACATCCATGGCCCTTTTTATTTTTTATTTTGAGACAGGGTCTTGCTAAGTCACTGAGGGTCTCACTAAGGATCTAGTCTAGCCTGGAACTCGTGAGCCTCCTGCCTCAGCCTCTTGAGTAGCTGGGATTACAGGCTTATTATTCAAATTATTCTGGTCCAGGCTAACCTCCTCCCCAAGGTGCTTGTCATGCTTGTCACAAGCACCCCTCCCATGCCTGTGGCAGACATTAATAATTGATCACTGCACTCATTCCCGCAGGGCTCAAAGTACTGCTCTGAAAGCAGCTCCCCAGGTAGCCACGGCTACTCAGTGTCCTTGGCTCCCGTGGAAATCTGCTGCCAGCTCTGGCTGCCCCCTGCTTCTGTGTTACTCTCTCTCATTTTTCAGCTGTCAGCACCCTCTAAGTGGTTTCCAAAATTTGAGGAAGGGCTGCAAGGTTGAGGAGAGGGATATAACTTTGATTTCTACTTGTTGTCCTAAGTGAAAATAAAAAGAAATCCAGCTTTTATTAATGTTTACAATTTGGATTGACATGTCTGTCAAATGTTGGGGTCCTGCCTCTTGGAGTGCTGGGTCGAAAGGTTGGGACACCCCTGTTCTAGGCCGTGTGCCCCCCCCCACAACCCTCCTTTGCTTCACAGACAGCTGGACAAGAACCACATCAGCTGCATCGAGGAAGGGGCCTTCCGGGCCCTGCGGGGGCTGGAGGTGCTGTAAGTACACCTGGGTGTGGAGCTGGGGGTGCAGGAGGCAGGAGACCCTCTCTCCTGGAACCCCCTGGCCCCAGGGTGGGAGGACACAGCCCCTGGGGCAAAGACCTGTAACTGCGGTGTCTCTGGAGTGTCCGCCAGGGACCTGGAATGCCTGCCCCTTTTCCCTCTGGGTCTCAACCTTGGCCCTTGCTTCCAACCAACCCCGTCTGGGACACATGAGTTCCAGACCCCCCCCCCCATCTGTCTCCCTGTCCTCCCAGAGCTGGACTGCATGGTGCATCCCCCAGTCACTGTCCCAGCTCAGGGGGTTCCCCCTGGAGGGTCCATGTCTTGTGCTCTCTGGTATAACCCTCTGGCCAGCCCAGTGCTGGTCCTCCATGAAGGTGGACCATGGGACCTGATGGGAGAGCCTCCCATTCATTAGCAGAAAGGCCCTGCCCCAGGTAATGGGCAGATGCCGAGTGACTCTGGTTTGTCTCTTTAGGACCCTGAACAACAACAACATCACCACCATTCCCGTGTCCAGCTTCAATCACATGCCCAAGCTGCGGACCTTGTGAGTTAGCCGGGGGCAGCCGGGTGTGCAGGGTCCCCGTGTGGGCCGACGTGCGGGGCAGGCTGTGGGGAGGAGGCCAGGGTGGCCCCAGCGGGTGGGCTGTTCTCTGCACCGAGGCCAGCCCAGGAGCTGCTCACGGGGGTCTCAGCAGGAGGAGGGGGTCTGAAGTTGCAGCTCCCAGCGTCATTTACAGTTGAGTTTTCCGGGAAAGTCAGTGACTAGTTATGTGTTGGAAAATGAGCTGGGTGATTGGGAGGCGGATCCCTGGGAGCTCAGGGACGTGAATCAGATTCGCTGGGCACACTCCAGCTTCAGGTGTGTCCAGAGCAGTTGGAGGGAAGGCGCGGGAGCCACCATGGACTTCCTGTGGCTGTGGGTGAGCTACAGGCTGGAGCTGAGCTGCCCGCGGGTGGAGACTGAGCAGCAAGGCCCAGCCGCCAGCGGGCTCAGCCTCCAGCAGGGCCCAGCCTCCTGCCTGGGGTCGGAGTTCCCACTGTTCCGTGGCGTTGGAGGTTGTGAGCCACCCTGTCCTCCCGCAGCCGCCTGCACTCCAACCACCTGTTCTGTGACTGCCACCTGGCCTGGCTCTCGCAGTGGCTGAGGCAGCGGCCGACCATCGGGCTCTTCACCCAGTGCTCGGGCCCCGCCAGCCTGCGTGGCCTCAACGTGGCCGAGGTCCAGAAGAGTGAGTTCAGCTGCTCAGGTGGGTGCGGGCCCTGCCCAGGCCCTCAGCTGCCCGTCACCTCCTGCCCCACCCACTGCCTCCTCCTGCAGCCACCTCAGTTCCCTCCCATTTATTAGCACCGGCCACCACGGCCTGCGGGCCTCAGTCACCACTGCTTGTCCCTGACGCTGCTTCCCCCGACCCACCTCCATTTTCTCCTGTGACCACCTGTGACCGTGCGTTGACGCTGCCCGTCCTCCACCCCTCACCCTCTGGACCACGCGTCCCCTGGGCCCCATCTCTTCCCTCCTGTCATCTCTCTTGTCTTCCCTCCTCCCTTCCTTCCCCGCCTTCCTCCTCCCCTCACTCCTCCCCTGTCCCAACCCTTACTTCCTGAGTCCACTCGCTGCTGTACCTCATCCCCTCCTGTCCCTCACCCACGCCCCTGCCCCCTACCCCCTCCTCCCCCACCTCCCCCTGCTGCCCTGGCAGGTCTTAAAATTCGCCCTGAGCCTTGGTGCCAGGCGAGGTGATCCCATGCCTGTGCCCCTCCTCTTCCTCTTGCCCCTCCCTCCCTGGCCACTTGGACTCCATGCTGCAGAAGGCCTGGAAGAGCCCGCAGCCTGGGCGGTCCCTGCTGTGTGTACTCATGGCCCTCCAGAGCTGCCCTCAGCCCGCAAGGCCCTGGTGGGGTCAGCCTCCCCTCCCTGGCCTCAGGCCCCCACTCACTGCCCCCAGCCCTGTGTCCGCCTCTCCCTTCTGCTGGGGCCTCCCGCCCCTGCCTTCTCGAGCTTCTCCCCTGTCGGCTGCACCCTTCCCTCCTGTGGCCTGCGGCCCCTCCTCACCCCACAGAGCCTGGGGAGCCTTCTCTGACCCCGGATGAGGTCCCCAGATAGATGGCAAACTCCGTGAGCTCGTGGAACAAACAGGGTGACGTGTTTCTGCCCGTGTCCTCACACTGGGAATGGAGTGAGGGGACTGTTTCTCCCACACCTGGGGGCTCTGGGCCGGCCCGCCTCCCGAGTGCTGAGGGAAAGCATCTGCTGGGCCTGGGGGAGCCTCAGGTGACACCTCCTCTGAGCACTGGAGACACCTAGGACCAGACTGTAACACTGCCGTGAGTGTGAGTGTGTGTGTGCAAGGGAGAGAGTGTGTGTAAAAGGAAGGGTATGTGTGCACAGGAGAGTGTGGGTGGGAGTGTGGGAGAGTGGGTGTGTGCTTGTGAGTGTGCACACAGGTGTGTGCTGGGTGAGAGGAGCCAGGCCGGAGACGCACCTCTGAGCAGCTGCCGTACTTTTGGCGACTGGGACTAGATAACGTGGGCAGCTTTATCTTGGAATGCAGCCTCTCTCTGTGTTGGAACACCTTGGCTCCTGCATTTCTTTGGACATGTTTCCTCCCCTGGAATCCGTGCACCCTGGCAGCCACGTTCCTGAGGAGAATACTGTCATAATTTGCCCTGGCTCCTTATAGCCTTGTCCCATTTGGTCCTGTGCCCACCCTGTGGGTTAGCCAGGAAAAGTATGAGGTGCTAAAAGGTTGCTCAGCCACCTGGCAGAACTGTGTAGCAGAATCCGTGAAAGTTCCACATGTGTCTACCCCACGGCCCTGCTACTCCACTGCTAGGGTTGTGCACTTGTTCTGCACAAAACACCAGAGAATATTCATGACAGCTTATTTTTGCAACAGCCCAAAGCTGAAGACAATGTAAATTTCCACCAACAGGACACTGCCTGGCTTAGCCTCCAGAAGACAGTGGGTTCACTAATTATGATATGCCCATATAACGGAGTACTACTCGGCAACAAAAAAGAATTATTGACACTCAACAACATTAAATCTCAAAGATTTTATGTTGGGTGAAAAAGCCATACACAAAAAAGAATCCACAGTAATATTTCATTGATGTGAAATTCACAGACAAGCAGAACAAAACCTGTGGTGACAGGCATCAGAATAGGAGTTGCTGTGGGGAAAGGGCAGGAGGGACCCTCCTGGGCGATGGACATGTTCCATGTCTGGGCGGTAGTTCTACCAGGTGCATGCTGAAGGTGGTGCACTTTATGTTAGTAATGACTGCACTTTTTTGAAGTGTGGGCTCTTTACATCAGACACTGGGCTTGGTCCTGGCTTCACTATCTATTAGTTCAGTTGAGTAAATGTCAACTAGTTGATGAATGCTGAGGACTCGGTTTCCTCACCTGTACAATGGCAACAACACGCTCCTCGCTCCTCGCAGGGCCGAGCAGGGCTGTGCAGGAAGGCTGTGTGGCCGCACTCACTGTAGCACACGGTGCAGCGTGAACGCTTGGTGCACGTGGTTGTCCCGCTCCTGTGTGGGCCGTGGGAACTCAGAGGTGTTAAGTGGTACAGATTAGAAACTGAAGCTTCAGCTGTCTGCGCCCAGATCTCCCAGGGGACGAGTCACACTCTGTGCAGCTCATTTTGGTTGAATTCAGCAAACATCTGACCAGTACCTGCTGGGTGACCAGCGCCCAGAGTCACATCCAAGTTGGGGATCTCTTACCTCCTGCGCCCTTGGCAACCTCTCCTGGTCCATCCTCATCCACAGAAACTGCCACTGCACACCCCTGTCCTACCCGCTGGTCTGGGTCTGGGGAGGGGACGCTGATGCAGGCCACCTGAGGTCACAGCCCCCTGTTTCTGCAGGCCAGGGGGAGGCGGGGCGCGTGCCCTCCTGCACCCTCTCCTCCGGCTCCTGCCCCGCCATGTGCGCCTGCAGCAATGGCATCGTGGACTGTCGTGGCAAAGGCCTCACGGCCATCCCCGCCAACCTGCCGGAGACCATGACCGAGATGTGAGTAAGGGACACCAGCAGGGGCCGGCCCAGGGCTTGCCCTGAGGCGCTGGAGTGGCAGATGGGGAGACACAGTGTGCCTCCGCAGGACTGAGCTCTCTGCCCAAGGCTGGGGGCCTCCAGAGGGTTGGGGAGGGGTGGTCCATCTGTCCAGCATCGCTGGCCGGTCTGCCAGAATGCGTTTAGTATTAGCATCACTGTGAGCCCCTTTCTGCCAGGGAAGCCTGGGGAGATGGACCACGGAAGGGTGCAGGGGGCTGAGGCAGAGGCTGGTGTGGCTGGGTGAGCCCAGCAGAGGGCAGCTGAGGCCCGGCGACCTGGGCCTCACCTTCCCTGTGCTCTTGCGTTCTCTGCAGCCGTCTGGAGCTCAATGGCATCAAGTCCATCCCCCCGGGAGCCTTCTCTCCCTACAGAAAGCTGCGCAGGATGTGAGTCCCCCGACCAGGGCAGGGCAAGAGTCTGTGGTCTGAGACACGGAGATGGCATGGCCCTCCTGCCTGGCAGGGTTGTCTGAGGCCTGAGTGGGTCGTCCCCCCATTTCAGCGTGGGCCCCGACAGGAGCAGTTAGGGATGAGACCTGGCCAGGACGTCGATGGCGTCGGTGGCTTCCCGGGAGGCAGTGCCCCCCTCGGGCGCAACACTCAGACTGCACAGAACAAGAGTGTCCCGGGGTTCGATGGGGGGGGGGGGGGATTGCCCTCCCAGGGAATCTGGGAGGCTGGTGGCGCGCAGGGGTCAGCTGCCCTCTCCGCTCGCCTTGCAGAGACCTGAGCAACAACCAGATCGCAGAGATCGCGCCCGACGCCTTCCAGGGCCTCCGCTCCTTGAACTCGCTGTGAGTAGCCCCAGAGGCGCCCTGGGTGGTCCAGCGTGTGGCCAGGGCCCCTCCTGTGCGCGCTGGGAGGAGCAGGGCCACGTGTCCCTCCCACAGCCCCGCCCACCCTGGCCCCAGCGGGGCTCCCTCTGGCTGCAAAGTCCAGGTTTGTAGAGCGGGAGGACCCTCCGCTGCGCAGGAGGAAGAGGCCACCCAGAGCTGAGGGCGTGGAAAGCCAGGGAGGCCGTTGCCCCTGACGACCGACCGGGATGCTCTGCCCGTTGGGGTGGATATCTCCCCAGATTTCTTTGTGGCAGTGAACTTGGTCCCTCCTCCCCTTAGAAGGCTGCTGAGCCTTCCCGTGTCCCTCACAGGAACAGTGACCACCAGGTCCAGTAGAGACACCTGCCACCCCTGGCTGTCTTTCATCCCAAAGGTCCTTGACCCCAAGATGTGGGTGAGGCCCCTCTAGGGCAAGTCAATCTACAAACGTCCTCCATCACTGACTTCCCAGGGAGGCTTGTTCCCACCCCGAGGGTCACCAGGTCCCTGACTCTCTGAGGCCCAAGGCACTTTGTCCATAGAGAGATCACACTACAGCCAGGGGAGCTCCCCATGGGGAGGAGCCATTTGTCACTTTTAGGACTGGGTGTTTCCACCTGCGCTCTGGACACATGGTGGCATAGATTAGAGGTCTGGTGAGTACAGCAGAATGGAGGCCCCCTGCCCCTTGGACAGTACAAAGAGGCTGCCAGCTCTTGGTCTGCTGTGCATGCCGCCCTCTTCCCTTGGAGCAGAGTCCAGGGTGTAGAGAGGCCAATTGTGAATGATGCCTCTGAGGTTGTGCAGTGTGTAACCTACACAGCTGGGCATGACAACCTGATGATAGATCACTGTCACGAAGATCAGATCCTGGAGGTGGCCTGCCACCACGTGGAGCTTTTCCTCTGAGAAATGAATACAATTCTCTTACATCAGATCATACAGTCTGAAAGGATAAAAGGTGACAGTAACCCACTTCAGTGGGTTTTGGTTGCTCATGGGTACCTGGCCACAGCTGCTTCCCTGCCATATGGGAGCTTGCGTGCTGAGATCATGCAGACAGATCCTATACTCATCTGTGCCACCTTGGCCAGGCCTGACCTTGTCACCTGCTTTCCCTCCACTCCACTCTCCACACAACAGCTCGAGGGATGTGTCTGAAATGAGAATCTGATCATGTCTCAGAGATTTTCCTGGTGCTGGCTGGGTGAAGTCCACGCTGCTGCCCATTTGTTTCCCCCCACTCAAGCCACACCGGCCTTTTCAGCTCTATGTGATCCATCCTGGATCCCACCACAGGGCCTTTGCTCCTGCTGTGCCCTCCCCCAGGAAGAGTCTTGAAGCCACATTCGAAGAGATAGCAAATAGTTTTTACTCTGAATGTGTAAAAACAGGGTGGCTTGTGGGGGTGACCAGGACATTGGGAATAAAACACCCCCAAAGTCCTTTGATGTTTTTTCCCTTGTCTTTCTCACTGTCTGCCAGAACATATCTTTGCCTACATTTTTTTTTAACGTTTGCTTTTGCCCGCCCTGATTATACATGGAATTCATTCATGCTCAGTTCAGAAAACTTTGCAAATACCAATACACACACACACACACACACACACACACTTGCAGTGCCCACCAGCTGGGTTTTGCACTGCATGTGCTGTCTGCATTCTATTTTTTCTCTCTGTAGTTCTCTGAAAATATGCTAATCAGTCCTGCCTGTGGGGCTTCCTCTTGTCCTACAGTCTCCTTTTGAATCCTGGACCAGGTTAATTTCCCACGAGTTTCCCCGGAAGGGCCCCTTTTGAAGGCTTCTGTGGGGCCCTGTATATGGGGGCAGGGGGACAGGGCTGCCCCTGGGGATCACAGCCCCTTCCAGCCCAGAGGGTACCTTTGAGCAAACTGGAAACAGGTGACGCTTTTGGAAGACACTTTACTGCCATCTGCTGGCAAGTTCCCATAGCAAATGTGCACTCTAGGCTGTGGGCACTGTGCCTGGTGAAGGTGGGCCCTGGGAGGCCTGCAGAGCTATGCCCTCTGCTCTAACCCTCCCTCTCTGCTGCCTCTCTCCAGGGTCCTCTATGGAAACAAGATCACAGACCTGCCCCGCGGCGTGTTTGGAGGCCTGTACACCCTACAGCTCCTGTAAGGACTTGGGTGGGGCCCAGGGAAAGCCCATGTTGCTCCGGCCCCCCAGACTGCTCTTTTTAGTCTCTTTGGGGCACTTGAAACAGGAGCTCAACTGACAGGTGGCCCAGGAGGGCTGAAAGGCTACAGGGCTCGGCAGAGGCCAGACAGGGATGGGACTTAGAGGCCTGTTCAGAACTGCTCACAGGACATCAGAGCCAGAGGCCTACAATCCTGGGGCACGCAGTGGCTGGGGACAGGGCTGTGTGCCCCCAAATGCCTTCGGGTTGGAGCCTTGTCCTGTGGTCTCCTGGAATCTCTCGAGGCACCTCTAGCAGGTCCTTGAACGGGAGAAGAGCCAAGGATGGCAGGGTCCCGGGTGTAAGAATGCAGTCAGACTTGTCGGCTCCCGGGCAGCAGGGGCCACTCCCCCAGATCACGCATGCCCAGGGCCAAGGAAGGTGCCAGGACGGTCCATCTCGGCCTCTCACTCACCCAGGCTCTGACTCTGCCTTCAGGCTCCTGAACGCCAACAAGATCAACTGCATCCGGCCGGACGCCTTCCAGGACCTGCAGAACCTCTCGCTGCTCTCCCTGTACGACAACAAGATCCAGAGCCTGGCCAAGGGCACCTTCACCTCCCTGCGGGCCATCCAGACACTGTGAGCACCCTCCCGCCCTCCTCCTTGTCTCCCTCCCTGCAGGCCTCTCAGCAAGAAGGCCCCAGCCCGGAGACGTGTGGGGGTTACAGCTTCCAGGTACAGATAGCTTCCTCCCCACCTGGGGTGGCCTCCAACAGAGGAAGGACCCAGGCTCCTGGTTAGACAGCTGCAGGTCCTAATCCCAGCTATTCCTCAGTGTGGCCCTGGGCAAGTGAATTAGCTTCTCTGTGCCTCAATTTTATTTCCCCATAAAATGAGGACATCAACTTCATAGAGTTGTTGTGAGATTCAAGATGTTTATAGGGAGCTCATGGTGAATGTTTGCTAAATGCCAGCTACAGTTAAATAACGATCAGGATAGTAATGTAGCCCCACGGATTCTAAGACCTGTTTCCACATTAATAGCTCTGGAGGTGGGTGCCTGTTACAGTGGATAGCATAGCATTTAATGGGCAGAATTTTGTTCTTTTTCGATAGTTCACAAAATAATAGTGCAGCTTACAATCGGAAATGTCAAACCAGATGAAATATAGTAAAAAACAGTGATGATTATGGATTAAAAATTAGAGAGCAACAAATCGAGCCGTTTGTTGTGATTCTTCGTTGTGGAAAATGACGAGCATATTAAAAGTAGCAGAGTGTTTTAGTTGGCTATTTCTCTGCTGTGACTAAAAGATCCTACCAGCACATTGGTAGAGAAAGAAAAGCTTATTTGAGGGCTCATGGTTTCAGAGCTCTTAGTCCATGGAAGGCCGGCTCCATTCCTCGAGGCTCTGGGTGAGGCTGAATATCATGGTGGAAGAGCGTGGCCGAGGGAAGCAGCTCATAGGAAACCAGGAAGCAGAGGGAGACTCCACTTGCCAGATACAAACATAGACCCCAAAGACATGTCCCAACGCCCACCTCCTCCAGCCACAACCCACCACTCAGGTACCACTCAGTTAATCCCTGTCCCAGGACTAATTCACTGATGGGGTTAAGACCCTCACAGCCCATTCATTTCTCCTCTGAACCTTCTTGCATTGTCTCGCACGTGAGCTTTCGTGGGACACCTCCCATCCAAACCCTAACACAGAGTGAACCCTCAGTGTTCATCACCCAGCTGTAATTCCTGGCCGGTCTTGTTTTAGCGGTGCCTCCCCACTTCCATGACACCCAAACTATTTTGAAGCAAATCCTACGTAAAGTTACTCTTTGAAGACTTCATCCCTATCACTGAAAGAGAGGGTTCTTCAAAAGTAACCCCAGGCCTGGGGCTGTCACTCAGCGGCAGAGTCCTTGCCTAGCATGCACCGGCCCCTGGTTCCCTCCCCAGCATCACACACACAGAATCAAAACAAAGCAAAGCAAAAGCCCAATATTAGTATCACATCGAAAAGCAATTTCTTAATATCATCAAATATCTAATTAGTGTTTGGACTTCCTGGGTCTCATTTATATTATACAACTTTTGGTAGTTCAATGGAATCCAGATTTAAATAAGACCTGTGCAACACAATCTGCTGTTACTGGTGGACATGTCCTTTAGGTCATTTTTTTTTTTGTCAATAGATATCCTCTTCATATCCCTCCCTCTCTCTCCCTCTCCGCCCCGCCCCCCTCAGAGGGTTCCTAGGGATTGAACCTCAGGGTGTTTAACTACTGAGCCACATCCATCCCTTTTTATGTTTTATTTAGAGAGGGAGTCTCCCTACGTTACTTACAGCTTCGCTAAGTTGCTGAGGCTGGATTTGAACTTGTCATCCTCCTGCCTCAGTCTCCTGAGCCACTGGGATTACAGGAGTGTGAACAGGCTGGGCTCATTCTCCTTTTTTCCTTGCAGTTTATTTGTTGAAGATACTGTGTGCTGGGTTCTGTCGAGTTCCCCAGTCTGGACTTGGCTGACCATATTGAGACAGAGTGGCCTATGTTCTGCCAGATGGAAGACCTATGTTTAGTCAAGTTCAGGTTTAGTCGATCAGTGATTGGTTTTCTGGCAAGAGGATTTCCTAGGAGGGATTGTGCACTCTGATCAGGAGGCACGAGATGCCTGTTGCTGAATCCAGTCTTAAAAATTAGGATCAGGTCCTCGTTCCCCCTGTGTTGAAGATTAACACCCAAGAAACACCGGGATAGAAGAGAGAGAGAGAGAGAGAGAGAGAGAGAGAGAGAGAGAGAGAGAGAGAGAGATTCCTCCAGCAAGGAGGGGGTCCAGAGCTGGTGCCTGAGGGAGTGGGGGTATCCTTCCCCTGTTATAGATTTTAGGTTTCTTCTCATGCCCCCCCTCCCATCTAAGTCCTTTTGAACTGGCCCCCATTTTCCCAACCTTGTCTGCCTCTCCTTTGTTCTTATCTCATGCTTCTTTCTGTAATATAAAAACAGTCATTGATCTCAATGCCCAATAATTCACCAGGGACCCTGAGAATGGCGTGATTGGATCCTCACGTTCCTTCTCCGTTTGGTGATGCTGTGTGGTTAGGCTTCAAGAAAGAGCCCTACACTTTTAGCTGGAATACTTCTGCATGGGGCAGCTTCTCGTCTGCTGCATGGTTAACCCAATACTTAAGGGTTCTCCTTCCTGCTGCCCCTTTGGTCCTGAGCCTCTGGCTGGCAGGGTGTGCTGAGCCTGAGCCACGTTGTGTGAGCATTTTGTGGGCACTGATTCTTAATGTCACCACGGCCTTCACTGTTGTCATCCCTGCTGGGTGGTGCACCCCATCAAATAACATCTGCATGGGCGCCGGGAGAGGTTCCAGATTGATTGAGGAGAGGGCACAGAGCCTCTTCCTGGGGACTCTGGACATCAATGGGATGTCAGCCACAGGGACAAACTCATGATAGCCCTCACACTCACCTGTAGCCTGAGTCCTGCTAATTCAGTTATAGCCAGAGAGAGGAATCTGGGGCCTCATGGGAGACCTTACCAGGTATGTGAAATTAAAGGTCACAGGGGGACACCAGCAAGGAGGGTTGTTTTGAGCAGATGGTGGAATGTCTGAGAGAAATGTGCTAAGGAGATTTAAAGACCACGAACCCACACACAGGAAAACTGCAGAGATAAGGGATGGGACAGAGGGACTCAAACAGGCAACTATAGCTCTTTGCATGTTATTTAGTTCAACACTTAAAACGACCCTTGTGAAGTAGGGTCTATTGCCCTTGATTTTACTTGTAAGAAAACTGAGGCAGGGAGAGATTATGTCAGTCACTAAGGTCCCAGAATAGCTCACAGAGATTTGGTCTCCAGCACCTCTTCATCATCACTCAGAAATCAGCCAGCTCCCTCGGTCACCCTTCCTCTGCAGCAACAGACCTCGTTGTTTAAGGCTGTGAAGCAAAACTGAACCTCATGAGGCCCTTTTATAAATTATCAACCGAAGTACAATTTGGAACAAGAATACAAGAAATACTAATCCAAGGAACAGACAGACATTCTCCTCAACCTTGGACTGCCCCCCAACTCCTTGACTTGAGTCTTGTTTTATCACACCTGAGCCTTAAATTCATCAAATCCTGCTAGATTTGTCCACAGCTCCAAGGTTTGTGACCAAGTACTTTGTGTCATGATATTGATATTAATTTTGCTACAGTTTTACTTGTCCCAAGAGATTTGTCAGCTTTTTAAAATATCCGCTGGGCGTCCCAGTGCACACCTGTAGTCCCAGCTACGGGGGAGGCTGAGGCGGATGGGTCTCTGGAGCCCAGGAGTCCCAGGCCAGCCTAGGCAGCTCAGTGAGACCCGCTTCTCAAACTCAAAACAAGACAAAACCAAACAACCCAGCCTTATTTATATGTAGCTTACACATAGAAAGCCCACCTGTTCTAGATGCACAGTTCAGCGACCTTTATAGTCAACCCCCAGAGTTATCCAATTTTAGAACATTTCCACGGCTCCTCCCTCAGTCCCTTGTACGCATTTGCAATTGATCCCCACTTCTAGCCCCGGCCCCAGGAGACCCCTCTTCTATGCTCCACTCTGTAGATTGCCCTTTCTGGCTGGTTCATCAAATAGAATCATGCACCCACCGTCGTCTGTGACTGGCATCTTTCCCTTGGTGTCGTGTTTCTGAGGTTCACCGATGTGTAGCGTGTCTCGTTACTGTGTCCTTTTTAATTGCCCCAATTTTTTTCCATTATATCTGATAGTCCACATTTTGTTTATCTACTCCAGCTGATAAACCCTTGGATCTTTTCTGCTTTGGGGCCAGGATGAATAATGCTTCTGTGAATATCTGCTTATAGATCTCTGGGTGGACAAGTGTTCTGGTTTCTTTGGGAGTTGCTGGCTCACAGGGTAAATTTATGTCTGACAAGGAAAGTTCAGGCGTTCCCACAGTGACTGCAGCATTTAACACCAGCGGTGTATCCCAAGGGACCGGGGTCTTCACGATTTCACCAGCATTATGTTGCTTGCCTTTAACAAAACAAAACAAAACAAAAAAGTCTCTTTTATTATAACCATCCCAATCTGTGGTATCTCATTGAGGTTCTTAATTTGCATTTTTTCAATGATTAATGATATACAGCATTTGCACCCAAAGATTTCTAGCTGTAGCTCCCTAAAGCCTATTCCAAGAAAGTCAGAGAACCTCTTCCCTTCCTTCCACCGTCAGAAATGTTCCCACAGTGGTGGCCACCTGGGTGGCAGATTTGGGGTTATCCTGTGCCAAGATTGTTCTTCTTCCTCCTGGGCCTTTGCTCTTCCCACCCTCTCTACTTGGTTGCTATTCAAATTTCTAATTTGTATCAAATGCTTAGGTTTATACAGCAGCCACTTGTCCCTGTGGGTGTGTGTGTTGGGGGGGTGAGTTTTATAGCTTGCTTTTGACCCAAATGCTCTTAAAAGGATGCGTCCTGTACCACACCCCTGGGCCGTTTGAATGTATGTGGAAACAACAGGATTGACTTGGTTTTCTGCCATTATTGTGACAAAGGGGAGCAGTTAGCTCAGCAGAGACTGGAGCGCTAAGCACAAACAGATGTGGTCGGGCAGCTGGGGAGGGTCCTAAGCTGTCCCCAAATGCTGGTACTAGCTACATACTCTACCCCGGAAGTCAGCAAACTCATCTTCTCTGCAAATTGGCAATTTCAAATAAGGAATAAAAGTTGAGCTGGATGCAGAAAAGATGGGAAGGCCCTGGCTCACCTGGTGGAACTGAGAGGAGCCAGATTTGGACAGGAAAATGAGAGAAGCCGGGGCTGGGGGAGGCCAACTTCCAAAGCAGGGGCCAGAAGGCAGAGCCTGGGAGGAGAGGGTCAGACAAGAGAGTGGCCAGCTTCTGAGCTGGGCTGGACACAGATGCTGGACCAGAGTTCTCCTTAACTTGGAGAGTTCTGCAGCAGCTGGCGGGGGCTGGGCTGAGGCCAACACGTGAGATGACCTGAAGGGTGCTCTGAGATGAAGGAGAAGTGGCCACAGCATGGCGAGTGCCTCAGAGCTGGCCCTGCCCTGTCACTCATGACCTCTCAGGTATGGTAGCCAGGACTGGTTTCCCTGTCTCCACTGGGACAGCCATGAGCAGGGTATGCCCGTGTGGTGGTGGCCCAGATGCAGGTGGGCAGAGCTGCTGCTGCACTGGTTCAGGTGTGGCTGGCCTGAGCCTGCTGGGGGCAATCAGGGCCCACAAATGGGAACACCATGTTGGTCACAGCCCATCATCTGTCAGCTGTTCCCCACATCACCATCTGCACCTGCTGGTAACACAGGCAGCCAGGCAAGGTGGCCCCAGAGATCCCCCAGAAAGCAGCTACTCGGTAATGTTTTCTGAGTTTTCCTTGTGTGGAGAAATAGCCTGTAAGCTTTCCAAGGAGAGGCCTTGACCCTGTGGCCTGGTTGGGGATAGTGACTCTGGGTGCAGCATGCGGGCTCCAGCAGGCCCAGCCTTGCCATCTCAGTCACGGCCCCCTCTTGGAGAATGGCTATGGAAGACGGACTGCTGCTGCCCAAGTCTGTAGGAGAAGGAACGGCCAGGGCCCGTGGCTGCTGGGGAGGTCCGAAGGCCATGGCCTGAGGTGGCATCGATGTTCCTGAGTTCCGTCACCTTTTCTAGGCCTCGTTTGTGAATGAACAAGGGTGTTCTGTCCAGTCTCTGAGTCCCTCCTCCCTCCACTCATGCTTGTGAAGTGTCCCAGGGCAGAGAGAGGGAAGGGTGGGCTGGAAGAGGAGGAACAGAGTGAGGCGTGGAGGGACGCAGGAAGCTCAGCAGCCCCTTCCTTCCTGTGATGCACCCAGAGGCCTTATCCATGGGTGGCAGGGTGCACCCTGGGGTCAACCCACTCTCACATACTCCAGGACCGGCCCTGGTCTTCTGGCCATGAGCAGCCACCTTGGCCCCAGCAGGCAGCCAGGCCCCATGCAGGTAGAGGTGGGCACAGGTTTGCAGTTCTGGTCTCTGATGGCCAATCTGATCCGCTTTGGACAGGCATCTGGCCCAGAACCCCTTCATCTGTGACTGTAACCTCAAGTGGCTGGCGGACTTCCTGCGCACGAATCCCATCGAGACGAGCGGAGCCCGTTGCGCCAGCCCCCGGCGCCTAGCCAACAAGCGCATTGGGCAGATCAAGAGCAAGAAGTTCCGGTGCTCAGGTAACTGCCTGCTGGTCTGTCTTCAGACTGCTCAGGGACCCCATGATGATTCCTGAGTGGCTCCAAAGAGGGTGTCCTTGGGCACTTTGGAGTCAGGCTAGAGGGCGCAGGCCCCACCCTGTGTCCTAGGTTCAATGTTGGTTCATCCCCTCTTCATTGTACTGAGCCCTAGGAGAAGTGGGGCTGGCAGAAGGCCCAGAGGGAGGCCCAGTCCCTCTACTCCCAGGCCAGCTCTTCTTCACACTGCACTCGATCCTTGAAAGATAGTCAGGAGGCCCGGGAGGTTTTGCAGTGAGCTAAGAGCCTCCTCAGACTTTGGGGCAGCTACAGCAAGGTCGGCGCAGTCCCCACTATTCATTGCAAGTGAGAGGTCTCATTGGATGTGCTCCTCAGCACTGACCTAGGCAAGGAACACGAGGGCTCTGGAGTAAGGCTTCTGCATCAGGGGCTGGGCAGGTGGACTCAGGCCCCCATACCAGGTACCAGCTGCATTCCTGGGGTACCTTCAGCCAGGTGGGACATGGGGCCAGGCCTGGCTGCTCCTCCATCATGACATTTCTCTGCTTCTCTCCCCAGCCAAAGAACAGTACTTCATTCCAGGTAGGAGTGGGGGCCAGCCTGGAGGGGCAGTGGCTGTGAGTGGGCCAAATGGGGGACTTGGAAGGCCCTGGGTTGGCCATGCTGCTTGGAGCCTGCCCTCTGCCCAGCTCTCCTTCTCGCCATAGGCACGGAGGATTACCAGCTGAACAGCGAGTGCAGCAGTGATGTCGCCTGTCCCCACAAGTGCCGCTGCGAGGCCAGTGTGGTGGAGTGCTCCAGCTTGAAGCTCTCCAAGATCCCAGAGCGCATCCCCCAGTCCACGGCTGAGCTGTGAGGGCCCCACCCTGCACCCCTCCCCCACCTGAGCGCCCGTTGACCCCCAGGCCCACTCCAGGCTTTCCCCTGTCCAGCTGTGTTTGGGGGACCACAGGAGACATGAACCACAGCCTTCACCCCAATTGCCCACTGCTTCTGCCTCACAACCCCCTCGAAGCAGTCTCTGACACCAGGGAGGGCCACCATCCTGAACTAGGGGTGGCTTTCTTCAGTGATGCTTTTGTCTACCTTCAGGGACATGATTCTGTGAGTTGAAGTCGGGGCTTAACATCCTTTATTATTTTTCTCTATCTAAAAACATGAATTTGTGTAGATAAGTATCACGTGCTTGGACGCCTGCGTGTCTCTGTCCTTTGTGTATGCAAATTTTCATGACATTTTTAATGTTAAAAATATGCCCGTTCACCTCTCCCCCAGTACCAGGCCCAGCCTTCCTTTGAGATGAGAACCATTGGCCTTGGCAGATACATTCATCAGGGAGTCCCCTTGGTCTGCGTCCCAGGGCAGAAGGTGCCTTAATACCCACCATTTATTTATTGGCATGTACCTGCCTCTTGCAGACGATTGAACAACAATGAGATTTCCATCCTGGAGGCCACTGGGATGTTTAAAAAACTTACTCATCTGAAGAAAATGTGAGTCGCTTGTTGGTGGGAAGGTGCCCATTAGGATGCTGGCCTGGGATGGGGAGGGAGAAGGCTGGGGAGGGGGGAGCTTCTCAGGGGGACATGGGGTGTTGAGTGCAGGAAGGGAGGGGCTCCTGGGTGCTGGTAATTTGAAATTCTCCTCTCATCCCCCGCCTCCTCTCCCAGCAACCTGAGCAACAACAAGGTGTCCGAAATTGAAGATGGGGCCTTCGAGGGCGCAGCCTCCGTGAGCGAGCTGCACCTAACCGCCAACCAGCTGGAGTCCATCCGCAGCGGCATGTTCCGGGGTCTGGATGGCTTGCGGACGCTGTGAGTGTGCACAGCAGGGCCACAAAGCCCAACCACGGGGTGGGCATGCACTAAAGGGAAAGCCCGAGAAGGCGGGAGATGGCCTTCCCCAGGCCCCGCTGCAGGACAGCTGAGGACCCTGCATGAGGGCAGGCAATCCCACTTGGGTGACTCGGTGGACAGGCCCATTCTCTTGATCCCTGGGGCAAGTGTGATGCCTGGTGAAGGGATGGAAAGAAGGGGCCCTCCTGAGGTCCCCCTGCATTGCTCTGGGGTCAGGCTACAGGAATACAGCACAACTACAGGCCAGAGGGACTGGACAGCTGTGAGGGGACCTTGCCAGGTGACTTGGTGGAGCTAGAAGGACAGGGTGGTGCACCGTCCCTGGGATTCTCAGAGCCAGCCAGAGCCCAGGAGCTCAGTGGCTCCAGGGTCATGAGCACTCTGTGAAGCTGCAGGGAGCCCCTTTCCAGCCAGTGACCGTGCTCTTCAGGTGACCCTGTGGATGTTTAGTGTCCAGCAGACAGGTTGCCTGCCCTGCCGGCCTTTCCACAGTGATGGGACTGTTCTGTGTCTACACTGTCCACTCTCCACATGGCTGTGGAGCCCTTATTTAATTTCAATTCATTTAAACTGAAATGACTACGTGTGCCTCGTGACCACAGTATTGGAAAACGCGGCTCTGGCAAGCCACCCGCTCGGGCTGAAATCCCAGCTCTGCAGCAGGGTGTGGATTTGTCTTCTGAGCGTGTATCATTGCACTGGTGGAAGGTAAATGAACGTGCGGCAGGACTCCCTGTGGATCTTCATTTGTTTGTTTTACAAAAAGGGGATTTGATTAGGCACTGTGTTTTGCAGCTTGATTCTTTCATTTGAGCGTACAGCCTGGCCATCTTTCCGGGCTGTTCCCGTCTGGCTGCCTCCTCCCTTCTTATATTTACCTACTGTTTTTTGAAAGAGGGTGCCCACAGCCAGGACCGAGGCTATAAAAATCACACGAGGGACAGTGCAGACATAGCAAAGAAGTGCCCATGACCTCACCACTGACCCTAAATGACTGCTGTTAATCATTGGTATTAACAACTATCCTTCTGGTCTTTTACGTGCCTGCACCCACATTCATATGCACATACGTACATACGTGGAAATATAGCTCATCTGTGGAACCATCTCCACAGTCTATGTCATAAACATATCAGTTCTCACCAAAAGTTTACCTCCACCATCTTCATCATTATTATCACTAGTATGATAAGAACACCTGAGATAAGATCTGCCCTCTTAGCCAATTTCCAAGTATATCTTGCAATATCATTTGCTATGGGCACATGCTGTTCTGTAATGATGAATTACATTTTGTGTAATTGAAATACACTTTTAAGGAAACCCTACAATAAATTTTATCTAATAATCTTTTCCTTTAACATAATGTGGGCACCTTTACCTATCATTAAATTTTCTTTTTCTTTTTTTTTTTTGAATTACTTATTTTTTTATTTTTATTTTTTTTCTTCATACATGTACTTGGGTTTTTTTTGCATTATAATTCTTATTACACATATATACCACAATTTTTCATGTCTCTGTTTGTATATAAAGTAGGTTGACACCCAATTCGTGTCTTCATACATGTACTTTGGATAATGATGTCCATCATATTCCACCATCCTTGCTAATCCCCTGCCTCCTCCCTTTCCCTCCCTCCCCTCTTCCCTATATAGAATTCATCTATTCATCCTATGTTCCCCCTGCTTACCCCAGTATGAGTCAGCCTCCTTATATCAGAGAAAACATTTGGCATTTGATTTTTTGGGATTGGCTAACTTCACTTAGCACTATTTTCTCCAACGCCATCCATTTACCTGTAAATGTCATGATTTTATTCTCTTCTATTGCTGAGTAATATTCCATTGTGTATATGTGCCACATTTATTTTTTATCCATTCATCCACTGAAGGTCACTTAGGTTGGCTCCACAGTTTAGCTATTGTGAATTGTGCTGCTATAAACGTTGATGTGGCTGTGTCCCTGTAGATGCTGTTTTTAAGTCCTTTGGGTATAGTCTGAGGAGAGGGATAGCTGGGTCAAATGGTGGTTCCAACCCAGATTTCCAAGATATCTCCATACAGCTTTCCATATTGGCTGCACCAATTTGCAGTCCCACAGCAATGTATGAGTGTGCCTTTTTCCCTACATCCTCACCAACACTTATTGTTATTTGTCTTCATAATAGCTGCCATTCTGACTGGAGTGAGATGAAATCTTAGAGTAGTTTTAATTTGCATTTCTCTGATTGCTAGAGATGATGAGCATTTTTTCATATATTTGTTGATTGATTGTATATCCTCGTCTGAGAAGTGTCTGTTCAGGTCCTTGGCCCATTTATTGATTGGATTATTGTTATTATTATTTTTTGGTGCTTAGCTTTTTGAGTTCTTTATATATCCTAGAGATTAGTGCTCTATCTGATGTGTGAGGGGTAAAGATTTGCTCCCAGGATGTAGTCTCTCTGTTCACCTCACAGATTGTTCCTTTTGCTGAGAAAAAAACTTTTTAGTTTGATTTCATCCATTTATTGATTCTTGGTTTTAATTCTTGCACTATAGGAGTCTTATTAAGGAAGTTGGGGCCTAATCCCACATGATGGAGATTAGGGCCTACTTTTTCTTCTATTAGACGCAGATAAATTTTCTTTTACAACATCAATTTGGATGACTATATATTGTATCATCGCTGGTGATTTAGGCTGTTTCTGACGTCTTTATTTCGAGCAAGGCTGTGATCAATGTCTTCAGCACACTGTCTGTGCCCACCGTGGTATTGAGGATTCCCTTTGGTGGAGTCCTCAGAGTGGACCAGCCAGTGGCAGGGGAGAGAGGCCTGTTGGAGACCTGTGCACTCACCACACATACCGGGGAGGTCCCCGGCCATTGTGTGCCGCTGTGTGTGATAGTGGCCTCTCACCCACACTCCCAGCAACTCTGGCATCATTATTATTATTATTACTGTGTTTTTGATAATTTTTCAATTTGGCAGGCAGAAATGGAATGTTTCTTAGGTGTTCTTGCTTACTCATAAGGTGAGCCTACTCCATGAGCATTACCCAGGCTGTTTTGGTTTCTCTCCTGACTGGCCTAGTCTGTTAAGGCTTGTTTTCGGCTGTTTTTATCTGGGCTGGGTTTCAGAGGGTGAACCTAGGCCATTCCCGATGCAGATGAGGAGGAAGGGCGTCCAGAAAGCCCTCCCGGTGGGGGTAGGCGTGGCCGTGCAATGGTCCACCATGCGACCAGCGCACTGGTTTCATTAATGAGGTTCTTGGCATAAAAGTTAGCTAGCGAGATCGAAATAAAACACACAGACTCAGTTACCTTTTTCTATGACCAGGTCCTAGACGGCTCCCCTCTCTGGTTCCCACCTCTAACCGCCCAGTAGGGCAGCAAGGATTACTCAGGGCTAGCAGGAGAGAGAGAGAGAGCACGCCAGGGAGTAGCCTTTTATTGGGGAACAAGAAATTCAGGGGAGAATTCCATCCAATGAAGGTTGAGGGGGGCCGCACTCCAAGGTCAGGGTCAGTGATTGGCCCCCAGGGTCAGTGGTCAGTCATACCCCCACACGGACGGGCTCTCTCATCAGGAGAGGGCCGGGAAAGCCCCGACACAGTTAGCCAGAACGCCTCAGACCCAAACCGGGAGTTGCCCAGTCACGTGTGAGAATGGCTTCCCACACAATGGAGCCATGTGAGGGGCCCTTGACCACCGTGGGGGCGAGCTACACCTGACCGCTGAGAAGATGGCCTGGGGCTGGGTGGACATAGTCTCCCAGATCACAGCAGAGTTTAAACTGTGGGCAATCTGAAGATCCCTAAGGAGTGTTAAACTGGAGAGGGACAAGATGCTGGCCACTGGGTGGAGCATGGCCTGGAGATGGGGAGGAGCACTGGCCATCCAGGGAGTGAGTGACCGTGGGCTGCAGGGGCCTCTATGATAGGGTAGACAGGCGCACAGTCCAGGCACCCTTGAGGCAAGGTGGTCTGGAGGTGGGCACAGTCGTGCAGAGCTCTCCCTCGCGTGGCCATGGCCATGGCCCCCGTTCCTGCTCTGCGGCTCAGAGCCTCTGGAGGAGCCTTGGGAACCACCTGGTGGTGGCCACCGCCGTGTGACCCAGGGGGACTGTGGCGGGCCACAGCCCAGGGCTCTTCCCTCCTCCGCAGGATGCTGAGGAACAACCGCATCAGCTGCATCCACAACGACAGCTTCACGGGCCTGCGCAACGTCCGGCTGCTCTCGCTCTATGACAACCAGATCACCACCATCTCCCCCGGAGCCTTCGACACCCTCCAGGCCCTTTCCACGCTGTGAGTCCCGGCCTCAGGGGACAGGCAGGATGGTGGCTCTGGGAGCAGCCATCCCTGGGGGCGATCTTGGGTGGGACCTCCTGGCTTGTTGGAACATGGCTTCCACCACTTTGGAATTCTGTCTCTCTCCCCCAAACTGACCCTCTGGGTAATGGTTGGTTGTGTGGGAAAGAGCCCTGGGTGCGCGGGGCCAGTAAGCGGCAAGTCCTACAGCAGTGGACGGAAAGGGGCCTTGCTAAGTCAAATGAAACTGGCGGGGTGTCTTGATGGCCCCATGTCCTGCCCCTTCCAGAAACCTCCTGGCCAACCCCTTCAACTGCAACTGCCAGCTGGCCTGGCTGGGCGACTGGCTGCGCAAGAGGAAGATCGTGACAGGGAACCCGCGATGCCAGAACCCAGACTTCCTTCGGCAGATCCCCCTGCAGGACGTGGCCTTCCCCGACTTCAGGTGTGAGGAAGGTAATACCCGGGCCCCGTGGGCAGGCGAGGGGGTGAGCGGAGCCAGCTAACTGGCAGGCTGGGTCAGGAAGATAGGGAGTGGCAGGCAGTGCTGTCACAGGCCCCAAGGGAGGAACACAGTGGGGAGGGGAGGCTGGCTGATGGGGAGGAACACGGAAATTCCCCCACTTGGAGGTGTCTTTGTGTGGTTAGAGGAGGAGTAATTGCTTATAGCAGAAAAATGGGAAAGTACAGTAGAAATAGATAAACATTACCTATGATCCCATCACTCAGAAAATCAAGTAACATCTTGGTGCATTTTCTTTATGTAAGTATGTTTAACCCACAGACCCGCCTCCTAGCTGCTCCTGAGACTTATGGGGTCACCCTCTGAGCTTGGCCCTGATTGCAGGAGCCTTAAAAAGTCCCATCCTCCTCGCTGACCAGGACTTCATCCCTTCCTCCCTAGGCCAAGAGGAGGGGGGCTGCCTGCCCCGCCCGCAGTGCCCCCAGGAGTGCGCCTGTCTGGACACTGTGGTCCGGTGCAGCAACAAGCACCTCCGGGCTCTGCCCAAGGGCATCCCCAAGAATGTCACAGAACTGTGAGTAGTTCAGGGCCTCGCAGCCTCCATGTTGATTCAGAGGAATACATTGCCTTTCTGGAGGAGGAGGAGGAGGAGGAGGTGCCCCAGTGCAGGGATCGGCTGACTGGGAGGAGGGTCAGGGCTTTGCAGAAAGCACCAGTTCCAACGGGACTTGGACCTTTTCTTGGATTCCCTCTCTGAGGTCACCTGATGACACAAGTCTCCAGATCGAGGGCTTCATCCCATTAAACTAAGCTCTCCTTTAACAGAGGGAGTAACATTACCTTTTCCACTTGACATTGTCTCATGAGTCTTCCCCTCTCTCATGAAAACTCTTACAAGTGTGATTTTTTCTTAACTAGAGACATAATATTCTTCACGTGAACCGATGATGGTCTAAATGTCAAGTCCCCTTTTGTTGGATATTTAATCGTTTCCATTTTGCTGTCATAAATAGCTCCAAGGTGAACACTCCTTCAGTGAAACCACTGCTTTGCCACTAGCCAATGTAACAGTGGCCTGCTCGCTCACCTGCCCTGCACCAACCCTGAGTATGGCAATGTGCCAGTCTTCGTTGATTTGGACTTGGTGTCTGAGCTCCTGTGGGGCTGTGGATGTAAATGCAAGCAATAAATGAGAACGGGCAAACTCATGCTTCTGTGTTCTCTCTCTAGCTATTTGGATGGGAACCAGTTCACACTGGTTCCGGGACAGCTGTCTACCTTCAAGTACCTGCAGCTCGTGTGAGTATTCAGGCTGCTTGAGGATCTCTGCCCTGCCTCAGAGGACATGCAGGCCATCGGCATCTAATTATCTTGGTTCCAGTTTTTCACGAAGTTCCTTCTGGACAGATCCTGATTCTAAATCCCCTCTTCCCAAGGGAAAACACCTGTGCCGAGAGCTGTTTGCCACCTAGTGGCCATGATTGGGAATTACACCCTTCCAGCATGGTTGGGTCAGACCTGCCTGCCTCTGTGTCCACATCTCCCCCATCCTCCTCAAGGGGGATCATTATTGTTAATGTGACAAATCCGTGCAAGGATCAGAGCTAGGACAGAAGTAAAGGGTGATGGGAAACCTCTTTTTCCAACCCAGAACCCTAAACCAAATAAGACACTGGGAGCTACAAATTTATAACTAAGTTCCTCTTAGACTAACATCTGCTTTTGTTATGTCCACCTTCTACCCTTTCCACCCCATGGAAACATACAAAATAATAAACCCCAGGATAATAAGGTTGATTCATTTAGTCTTCCAGCCTACTAAGTACCTTACTGCTATTGTCTGTCTCTGCTCATTGGCCAGATTCTGCCCCAAAGAAGACCAGAGACCATTCTATTTAGTGTACCTGCAGCATTGCTGCAGGAAGTGTGGCCCGGGGACCTGTGTCAGTCTGAATACAGTTGTGACAGATCTGTACGTAGATAAGGAGCCCGTCCCAGAGTGCAAATTGACATCTTCCTTCCTTCCTTGAGAAACTCTTGCTATGCAAACAACGTTAGCTAAACTAAATTGTGTGTTTAGATTACATTTTGGCACACGTTTTCTTGCTGTGGACTGGTAACAATTGGTTCAAAGACTGGCTAATTCCATTCTGTAGAATCTTGTATCTCCAAATACCTGTCTTTGCTTAATGACCTCAAGAGTGTGTTTTGAGCCGTCCAGTGGGGGTGGAGGTGGAAGAGCATGGTTGGTGGCTGGTGACAGAGAAAGAGAAAATACTGCAATTCCCCAGGCTTTCTGTGGACTACTCTGATGAAGCTCCAACTGTGGCTAGGATACCCTTGAAGAGGCCAGGAGGGGACAGAGTGATACTGTCAGTGTGCCAGCTGCTGCAGGGTCACCCAGGTTTAGACCAGGCTCTGCCTGTGCCCAGCTAGGTGGTCCCAGGTGAATTCATCACTCTGAGACTCCTGGTCTCCATCTGTAAAGTGGGGTTACTCTCTCCCTTGCAGTACTGCCAGGGGGGGCTTGTGCACTAGCACACACCAGAGAGAAAGAGAGGACCACTGGCAGGAGGGAGGGGGAGGGGGCAGTGCCCTCCCCAGGAGCATTTCCTTGGTGAAAAGGGGGATAGCCAGCTCTTCCTGGAAAGGGGAGGGGCAAAGAAGGAGAGGTGGCAGAGAGGGACACCAGGGAACTCAACAGCTGTGAGCCCAGTGCGCCTGCCTCTCCACCCTTGCCCCACCAGAGCAGTGGAGCTGTGGTCCTCCTGCATGGGGAAGGGCCAGAGCAGGTGGGGGAGGGCCCTGACCTGGGATTAAGTTCTCTCTTTGCAAATGATGATGCTCTTGTTTTTTCCAGGGACCTGAGTAATAACAAGATCAGTACCTTAAGCAATTCCTCCTTCACCAACATGAGCCAGCTGACCACTCTGTGAGTCCCAGCAGGGCCTGGGTGGGGGCGTAGGGGGCCTGGCTTCAGCCTTATTATTCTGGGCATTGCTCCCTGGTTACTCATAGGACCATGTGCAGACTCCCTCCCCTGCAGAGAGACTTTTAAAAAACATCTCTCATTGTGTCTCCTCAGCCTTTTGTCTAAGATCAAGTGTAAACATATCTTTCTTTGTGAAATACAACACATATGGAAAAGTGCAAAAATATAAATGGAACCGTTTAACAAATAATCATCAAGCTAGCACATGTGTAGACACCTAAGTCAGAAACAGAGCCATGTTAGCACTTCAAAAGCCCCATCCCTACCTGTCATTACTGCTCCCTCCGCCCACCCCACCCAACATAGCCCCCATCCTGACGTGATGATGATAACTTATTGATTTTCTCTGTAGTATTGTCATCTACATATGCATTTCTAAACATCACCATTTAATTCTACTACATTAAAATGTACAGAGCATTTTTTTAAAAATCTAAGCCAAATAGAAGCCCTTTTGCTCGACATTATTATGTCTGTGAGACCCATCCTGTTGTGTGCAGCTGCAATCTAGTCATTTTCATTGCTGTTACTTTTTTCATTGCCATACTTCCCTCATTCACTCTATTATCAATGGGTATTGGGTCATTTCCAACTTGGCTTGTTGTCAGCAGAGACTCTCTGAACATTTTTATGCACCTATCCTAAGAAATTTCATGTGATCTCTAATTATATTCCAAGTAATTTATCAGAAGGTATTAAGAAGCATCCCTATTATTTTCCTGGTGCTTAAGAGTGCATCTCTTTTGGGGCTGGATTGTGGCTCAGTGGTAGAGCGCTTGCTTAGCACGTGCGGAATGCTGGGTTCAGTCCTTACCACATAAATAAAAGTATTGTGTCCAACTACAACTAAAACAATTTTTTTTTTAAAAAAAGAGTGCATCTCATTTGCTTTCCCAGCACGTCATGTTCCTTACGATGCACCACAATCAGGGATTTTCCCAGGCTGCTGTCTAGGTCAAACGGTAGAGCCAGTTTCCGGAAAGGGAAGGGGGTCCGGACCCAGCCAGTCTTTAGAGGAGAAGGTGGGCTGAGGCCAGCAAGACCTGATCTGGTTCCTCTCCTGCACTTACCTGCCCCAGGACCTGCTAGTCAGCTGGTCCCCACTCCCCAGGCTTCCTGACACCTTGGCAATTTGCTCCTTCTTGGGGAGATTTAGCCTTGAAAAGGCCCTTTGTGAGCCAGTGTGTGTGGAAGCCACCTCTGTCTAGGGCTGTGTTCCCAAGCTATAGATCCTGCCCTCCAGGGACATTTGGCAATGTCTGGAAACGTGTGTAGTTGTCACAACTTGGAGGGAGGGTGCTGCTGACATCTAGTGGGCAAAGGCCAGGGAGGCTGCCAAACACCCCTCAGTGCACAGGATGGTCCCCAAGACCAAGAACTGTCAATACGCCCAGGCGGACAAGTCCTGGTCTGAGTGACCCTGCCAGCCACAAGGAGGACAGACCCTTTCCTGTGATATGTCTTTTTTTTTTTTTTTTAGGAGGAGGGGGGCAGGTACTGGGGATTGAACTCAGGGGCGCTGGACCACTGAGCCAAACCCCCAGCCCTACTTTGTATTTTATTTAGAGACAGGGGCTGACTGAGTTGCTTAGCACCTTGCTGTTGCTGAGGTTGGTTTTGAATTCGCGATCTTCCTGCCTCAGCATCTGGAATTACAGGTGTGAGCCACCACGCCTGGCCTTTCCTATAATATGGACAGCTCATTTATCTTGCTATTTTTTTTTTTTTGGTTTTTGCTTCCGGCATAAGAAAGGTCTTTGGTGATCTGTTTAATATCTTACTGTTTTTAAAAAGAGCTTCTATAATCCTGGAGACTCGGGAGGCAGAGGTGGGAGAATCACAAGTTCAAGCCAATCTGGGCATCTTAGTGAGACCCTCAGCAACTTAGCAAGATCCTATCTCAACATAAAAAAATAAAATAAAATGAGCTGGGGATGTGGTTCAGTGGTAGAGTGCCCCTGGGTCCAATCCTTAGTGCTCAAAAAAAAAAAAGTAATTTTACTAAAGTATAATTAACATACAACAAACTGCCTGCATTAAAATGTAGAACTTGATAAATTTTGACATATGCACACACCCAGGAAACTAACCACAATAAAAAGTGGACCCCTGATGTCCTTTTGCACTTCTCCCAACCCCCAGCCCCATTCTATAAGTGATCTGTTTTCTGTCATTATAATTAGTCTGCATTTTTTTAAAGTTTTATGTAACCATTTATAAAACAAGCTCTTTTTGGCTTGGCTTTTGTGGCTTAGCCTAATGATCCTGAGATTCATACACACCGGTGGTCCCTTCCTTCTCACTGCTCAGCAGTATTCCCGGGCATGAATGTGCCCAGTCTGTTCCTCCATTCATCAGTGGGTGGACGCAGGGGGATGTCCAGGGTGGGGCTGTTGCAGGTATCATCTCCCTTCTTCATCTGCTTGTCTTCCTTGAATGGAATCATTTCTCTGAAAGCATTTTGAGAGGTGGTTTAATGTGTGGACTGTGGAAACTGGGAATCTTTTTTTTAATATATATATTTTTTAGTTGTAGGTGGACACAATACCTTTATTTTTATGTGGTGCTGAGGATCGAATCCAGGGCCTCACGTGTGCTAGGCAAGCTCTCTACCTCTGAGCCACAACCCCAGCCCCCCCAAAACTGAGAATCTTAATGACAATCCCCCCAATAACTTAATAACATGGCCTTGAGGAAGTTCTTTTCACTACATGGAGCCTCGGTTTCCTCATCTATGAGATGAGTAGAAATGGTACCTTCCTCTCCGTCATCGACTGTCCCTCCCTCCCTCCCACAGGATCCTCAGCTACAATGCCCTCCAGTGCATCCCTCCTCTGGCCTTCCAGGGGCTCCGCTCCCTGCGCCTGCTGTAAGTCCCCTCAGAATTCATTCCTCCAGGAATCCACTCCCCTGGGGCCCTGCCGCCACCTGGTGGGCAGCAAAGCCCCTGTGTCTGGGGCCCAGGCAGGACTAATGCTGTGTTCAGGTGGGAGTCCAGAACACCTGCGTGCAAGCCCCTACAGAAGCGAAGTCCTGAATGGGAAAGGATGTGAGAAAGGGGGTTGCTGTCACCCCCCAGATGAATCTGGGGTGTGTGGGGGGAGGGGTGTCCCAAGATAGGGTAGCCCTTTACTGCATCTGAACAGCCTCCTATTCAGATTGAAAATGTTTGGCTTGCAAGAGATGTGGGCACCTTTTCCAGAAGTTCCTACTTAAGGTTTTGCCATGTGACCAAAGCCTTCTGTTGTGTCTATCATGACAGCCGCTGTCAGCCCCACCGGGGAGCAAGGTGACATTCCTCCAGCCCTGACCCATGGCTGGCCGCATGAACTTCTTTATCAACCTCTCAAGCTAAGAGAGGGAGGGCTTGCAGGCGCACCAGTCCAATCGGCGATGCAAACCTGCTGCTTGAATTATTTTTGATGACGAAAAGAGTCCTCCCGAAGGACTGGGGGACAGGGGGGTCCTCCAGGACTATTTAGGGCTCCCTCCTCCTTCACTGGGGCCAACAGGGCAGGGTCTCTGGGCTGAAGGCCACCTCCCTCCTTGCACTGACAGAGAGAGCTGGAGGACAGCTTGTCCCTTCTCAGGAGAGAACTGGGACTGCCCCTCCACTGGGGCTCCTGTCCCTGTCTCTGGACCAGGCACCAGCAGCTTCTTCTCTCCTCAGGTCCCTCCACGGCAATGATGTTTCCACCCTCCCAGAGGGCATCTTTGCAGACGTGACCTCCCTGTCTCATCTGTGAGTAGCAAAAGCCCCATTCTTGGGCCTCATTGGATTTTAACAAAACTTGGGTTCTGAGGGAGACCCCAGCTTCTCAGATTGCCACAATGTCCCTGTGCAGCCTCAGTCCCTCAGGCACTCAGTGGTCCACCGGTCACAGCACTGGTCAGAACAGTTCTTCACAAGCCAGGGCCAAGGTAGAGCTGGCCATTTTCTGATTGCTAAACATTTCACTTGGGTCAGCTGCTGCGACCCTCACACTAGTCCTATACGCAGGTACCGTTCCCCTGCACGTGAGGAAGCAGGCCCAGGGAGAGTGAGAAGCTAGCTTGCCCAAAGTTGTGCGGCTGGTGGGTGGTCAGGGTTCTGAGCCCAGTGCCCATGCTGTTAACTTCACACCATGAAAGATAAGTTCCAGACATTTTCTACCTCCCAAAGTGACATAATGGACATTGAATTGCTTCCCAAACCACTTAGCTGGCCGTGCCATGAGGATTCTTTAAAAGCAGTAGTAAAATGGAGAAAGGGGACCCTGGGGAGGGAGCAGGGGAGGAGGAAAGAAGGCGCTGGGCAATTAAATTGACCAAATTGTTATGTGTGTATACAAATATGCCACAAAGAGCGGACTATTATGTGCAATTATAGTGCACCACCAAATAAATAAATAAAATAAGGAGAGAGAGAGAGAGGTAGGCTTGACTGCTCTAAGAGCTAAACACAGAACCACCTACGACCCGGCAGGTCCACTCCCAGGTACGTACTCAAAAGAGCCAAAATCAGGATTTCGAACAAATGCTTCTATGCCGATGGCCGGAGTCCATTACAACATTGTTCACAGTAGAGCAAAGTGGAAATACCCCGAGTCCATCCACAGAGGAAGAGAGAAGCAGGACGTGGCAGAGACGTCCAACAGGGGAGAATCCCCCAAAACTAATAAGTTCTGATATGGCCACAGTGCGGGTGAACCCGAGAAACGCACCACTGAAATAAGCCAGACCCCAGGGACAAGTATAGATTATTCTACTGATGTGAGTGTCTCAGAACAGTCACATTCCTAGAGGCAGAAAGGAAAATGGTGGGGCCAGGGCTGGGGGCCAGGCTGGGTTCCAGTGTTTAATGAGCTCAATGTTCTGTTTAGGGTGAGGAAAATGTTTTGGAAATGGACGGTGGTGACTGTTGCCCAACACTCTGAATGGAATCCACATTCCTAACTGTACATTCAAAACGGTTGAAATACATATATGTGATATATATTTTAGCACATAAAAAGTGGAGAAGTAAAAAAGCGCTGTGCTGGGGCAGGGCCACCCCCTCTGGAGGCTGGGATGGGTCCAAGCAGACGTCTTTCCTGGCATTCCTTGGTGCCACTGGCTGGGGAGTATATATGGACCGTGGCTGGCACCCTGATTGGCAGACCTTTTGTCTCTCCACCCACACCCAGGGCCTAGGTGGGCAGGCATTTCTGATCAGAAGGGCTCTTAGAGTCACCAGCATCTCTCTAGAAGTTCATTCATTCAACCATCTAACTAGATTTCCCCATTCTGGGACTTACCTTTCCCAGATTTTAATCTCTGAAATCAAGTGTGTCTTGCCAGGCTCAGTGGCACATACCTGTAGTCCTAGCTACTCAGGAGGCTGAGGTAGGAGGATCCCAAGTTTGACACCAGCCTCAGGAACTTAGCAAAATAAAAAATAAAGGGACTGGAGGTGTAGCTCAGTGGTAGAGTGCTTGCCTGGCACGTGTGAGGCACTGGGTTCGATCCTCAGCACCACATAAAAATAAACAAATAAAATAAAGACTTTGTGTCCATCTACAACTAAAAAAGTATAATAAATAAATAAATAGGTCTGGGGGTGTAGCTCTCAGTAGTAGAGTGTCCCTGGGTTCAATCCCCAGTAACAGTGACAATAAAAAATCACAAAAATAATGAATACATAAATAAAATCAGAGTGTATCTTAAAGTTATGTGTATATTTAATATGGTAATGTTTCCCAACCCCTCCCAAAGCATGTTACATATGCGATGTATCTGACAATCTTAGACTTGAAGAAATAAAATAGGTGTCACTCTTTGAAAATCTGCTTGAGTCAAATACTATATTAAGTGCTCTACTGTGGTGTCTTGTTTACTCCATGACCAAAATGAGAAACAGGTTTTGTATTATGTGCCAGCTCTGTGTGATTGGCTGGAACCGCCCTGAACATTGCACTAAAAATTCCAGGGCTGGTCTGAACTTAGGGGGAAGAGTGCAGTGATTGATTAATGATGTCTACCATGGAAATGGGAGGGGTAAGGGGCCTTGTCCAAAGTGACAGGATCTATTATTTCCATTTTATGGTGGTAGGTTCTGAAAAGTTAAACAACTGTTCCAGGTCCTAAAGCTAGGAAATGACAGACAGGATTGGAACTTAGGTGTGTCTGATTCCAAAGCTCACTATTTTTTTATTGCCTCAATAAATATATTCTGGGAAAACAGAGTGAGTCAAGTGCTGAAGAATTTACTAACAAATTTCTGCCCTCTGTGATCATCTAGATATTATAAAGGAGTCTGAAGGAAAAAATGACTAAGGGGAAGTCTGAGGAGCTTCACAGAGGAGGTGCCATTTATGTTGTCATTGAAAAGGTATCAGGAGTGTGGTGGCTTTTCTGTTGCTGTAACAAAACACCTGAGAAAATCAATTTAAAGGAAGAAAGATATATTTTGGCTTATAGTTTCAGGTATTTCAGTCCATGGTCACTTGGCTTCCTCACTTTGGGTCTTTGGTGAGGCAGAACATCATGGCAGGGAGCACATGGTAGAGCACAGTTGCTCTTCTCATGTCAGCCAGGAAGCAAGGAGAAAGAGGAGGAATGGAGTGCTGGTACCCTCCTCAAAGTTGCACTCACAGTGGTCACTTCCTCCAACAAGGCCCCACCTCTTGAAGTTTTTACCACCTCCCAATAGCACCAGCAGCTGGGGACCAAACCTGTAATGCACCAGCCTTTGGGGAACATTCCAGATCCAAACTATAGCAGGAGTTTACCATTTGGAGAAGACTAGAAGGGCATCCAGGAAGAAGAATCAAGTGAAAAGGCTTCAGAAAGCAGATGGCATTTTCAGGGATGTTCCTGTCCAGCATAGAAGAAAGGGTTTGGGTTGGGGAAGAATGTAGGATGGGAAGAACTGAGTTTGGGAAGGGACATTGGAATTCTGTTGTGAAGGGCCTTTTGTACCATGCTAAGGAGTTTGGATTTCATCTTATAGATAGGATGGAATTGTGAGAGAATGAAGTCACTGGTGACATAGAGGCTGCAGGGGACCGGAAGAGGCAGGAGTGAGGTGGGTTAGAGATGCTGGCTGTGGACACAAGCCAGGAAGGGGCAGTGTTGTTTGTTGTTCCTGCTGATTTGAATTCACGAGGGCTTGTTTCCCATCTGTGATTGTTAATTTTTGAATGTGAGCTTATTTTGGGTTGACATTAATCTTTAGAAATTTCTCAGGACCTACATGGGAGACGCTGGTCTCCAGAGAGGACTTGTGCTTGTCTGTACTGGAGACGAGGAGCTGCTGCTGCTCTGGGACAGCTCAGCCTCCTTTGCATACTCATGAGCTGTGTGACGCGGCTTCTGCCACTGCTTCAGCCTCCCGCTTGCCAGGCCAGACCCTCAGGATCCAGTCCACCTCTCCCACCTTTGGCTTCCTTCTTAATGTAATTCTTCTGCTTGGTGTTTAAATCTGTAGTTGGTTACTTTTCCTCTTTCTTCATGAGAAGTGAATACCTCCCAAGTACTTTCTAATGTTGTCTCCAGCTCAAAATCTAGGGGCTTTGATTTCTAAATGGGAAATGAACAAACGACACATGTTCTGAACAAACAAAAAAAACCCTGAAGGTGGAAAAACTGAGTCTGAACCTTGTTCCTGCCTCCTGAAAGTGCTAACGTTCTAAGAAGCGCTCTCTTCCCCATGTGATGCTTGCCAGCCCTCTCCTCTGCACTGGTCGCAGAGGAGCGGGGTGTGGGGCAAGGGTGCAGTAAAGCACTGGTTCATCACATTCAAACCCCACGAACTAGAAATCTGGACTATGGAGTTGGGTCCTTCCAACAACTTGCAGTGGGATTTTTGACAGTTTGTTCTTTAGACCCCTCTCTCTCTCTCTCTCTCTCTCTCTCTCTCTCTCTCTCTCTCCCCTCCCCGCTTTGTCTCTCTTTGGTACCAGGGATTGAACTCAGGGGCACTTGACCACTGAGCCACATCCCCAGCCCTATTTTGTATTTTATTTAGAGACTGGGTCTCACTGAGTTGCTTATGCCTCACTGTTGCTGAGGCTGGTTTTGAACTCGCCATCTTCCTGCCTCAGCATTCCAGCATTCGGAGCCACTCTTCTTTCATCATTACAAACACTATTCCCAAGGCCCTTTGTGATTCAAACATACCATGAGTGCGAGTGCTCCTCGCTGTCCTGGGTTTCCGTCTCCTGCACATCTCATGGCTGCTGTCTACTTTTATCTTTACTTAGCAGTTAGCTCATTTTTCATCTGTTTTCTAACTATTCATCCACCTGTGTTAATCATCTTTCTGTGACCATCACAAAATAACTAAAATAATCATCTTTTTTTTTTTTTTGTCTTTTTTTTTTGGAACTGGGGGTCGAACCCAGGGCTTTGCGAATGCAAGGCAGACGCTTTGCCACTGAGCTACATCCCAGCCCCTAAAATAATCATCTTAAAGAGAGGGAAGGTTTATTTTGGTCCATGGTTTCAGAGGTTTCTATTCATGGTCAGTTGGCCATATTGCTTTTGTGCCTGTGGCAAGGCAGCACATGGTGGTGGGAGACTGTGGAAGAAGCTCACCTTATGGCATCTAGGAAGCAAAGAAAGAGGAAGTAGAGAGGTCAAGGTTCTAATATCCCCTGAGGGACATGCCCCCCATGACCTAACTTCCTTTATTAGGCCTCATCTCCTAAATGTACCACCACCTCCCAGTAGTGCCAAGGGCTGGGACCAGGCCTTCAGTACCTGGGCCCCTGGGCAATGCCAATTCTATGCTAAGTTTCCTTGTTGTCATTGTTCATTACTATAATCCTGCATTTTGCAGACTCTAATCTGTTATAGACAAGAAAGCTAGAATTCTAAATTCATTAAGAACTAGGTGTGAAAATCAATAAGGAATGACTAAGTAAGCTATGGCATGCCCATACAACAGAACAGCAACGAATTCATAATCATGATAATCGTCACACTAGTATTTATTATTTGATGTAATGAGGAATAAATGATTCAGTGTTCAAATATGTACACAGGAGTTGGAAGTATCCAGCCCTGCTGGGACTTAGTGGCTCCAGTCTTCAAGGGACTGCTTCTGTACTCTCCAGTCCAGAAAAAGGAGACTGTGCTACACACAAATAAATTGCCTAAGAGTAGGATGGGCAGAGAAGGTGTGGCTTGGGTGGAGGAGACTTTAGGAGCTTGCTAGCCCAGGCCAGGAGAAAGCCACTTCAGGCCAGGGACATTAATAGAGACTGGGTAGAATCTTGACATGAATAGCTTCTATTTCAGCTATGTCCAGGCTGTCCCAGAGATCAACAGCACAGGGTTATTTATACTTTTGCTGGGATGAGTACCTGAAGCCACAGTCCTTTTGGATTGACAAGTGTCCTGGCTGCTGGGCCCACAGCTCTGTCTCCATTAGGCCTGTGTCTCTCCACATCCCACTGAGTTCATAACAATTTTCTTTTATGATTTAACATGTATAAATTGTTCTTCACTGTAATTTTCATTGGGGAAAAAAAAACAGTTCCCAGCTGAAAGTGAATGACAAGTACCACTGGGGAGATGATAAGATGGTCCTTAGCTACAGAAATCCAGCTGTGGATAAATTAAAACTTGAATTGTTGAATCCAGGTGTGGATCAGAATCTGCTCAGTACAGAAACAAGAAAGACCATTTATGTATCAAGCCAGGATCAAAGCCTTTTTTTTTTTTAGTTGTAGATGGACACAATAACTTTATTTTGTTCATTTATTTTTTATGTGGTGCTGAGGATCCAACCCAGTACCTTGTACATGCAAGGCAAGCACTCTACCGCTGAGCCATAACCCCAGCCCAGGATCAATGCTTTTGAATAGGTTTTCTATGGCTCTCGTCCCATAATTTGTATTATTAAGAGTGGGGGAAGGACACTTATATTTGAGATCCAGCTTTGCTACTACTTAGGGGCAAACACCTGTACCCATCTGGGAATTTGTGAAGATCCTAGGAGACATCAAGGGGCCCCACATTCACAATGGCCTCAGACTCAATCTTCTTGACACTTTATCTAGTGAGCTACAGGACTGAAAGAAACAGCCATTCCTAATAAATTTTTAACTCCTGTCTCATTACAGGACTATGCTTCTTGTAATGCACTACCAATTCTGTATTTCTATCTTTTGAATTGAGTTATATTATACTTTTATTAATATAAAATTTTTCTAATGCATTTATTTAAAATATACCACAAGGCATGTATTCCTGTTATTTTTAGAAGCCATTTTTTAAAGAAATAATCTCCCTTTATTAAATAATATGATTATGTAAACTTCAACTTCTTTTCTCTCTCTCTTAGTATGTGAGGGAAACAGTATACCAATATTTTGTTCTGAGGATTTTTCTTATTGGTCCTTCTGAGTTATACATGATAGTAGAATCTCTTTTGATAAAATTATAAAAATTATAAAATTATATCTTATTCTAATTAGGTAAAAGCCTTTTTTTTTTAAACATGCTGTATAGCTTCAAAAATTCAGTGTCTAAGCTGGATGCAGTGGCGCACGCCTGTAATCCCAATAGCTCAGGAAGCTGAGGCAGGAGGATCGTGAGTTCAAAGCCAGTCTCGGTAACTTAGTGAGGCCTTAAGCAACTCAGTGAGACCCTGTCTCTAATAAAATATTTTTAAAAAGGGGGGCTGAGGATGTGATCAGTGGCTAAGCACCCCTGGATTCAATCCCTGGTACCAAAAAACAAAAACAAAACTCAGTGTCTGACCTCCCTCCACATCTGAGAGGCCCTGTTACTGCTCAGTGGAAAGAGGATGGTGTCTGTCCTGTCCCATTAGCCAGGATGGATGCTGTCAGCATATAAGGATAGAAAAAATTGAACATGTGTCTAGGTCGACCCTGCCTTTTTTCCAGGCTATGCGATTCCCTCAGCACCCATTTTAGGTTATATGTGCTTGTCTTTCCTTCCCTGCTCAGTCACAGGCTCTTTATTGAATCATAAAGTAAGCCCCAGAGATGTTGAATGAGCTGCTCAAGGTCACCCGGGCAGGGAGCAACTGCGGTGGGGCTGGAGTCCAGAGCTGGTTCAGCCTGTTTTATAAGATTGCACATCACCTGCTGTGCTATTTTGGGGAATTCCTGTTCAGAGCCGCTGTTATTTGTATCAGATTGTGCACATCTTAGGGGGGGTCCACTTCCTCTGTGTTGCCCAGAAACAGGTGGGAAACGGCAGTGCATCCATTGGGGACTTAATGAATTGCCCATTGTCATGGACATTATCCAACCTTATATTTTCAAAGTAACATGGGTGCTGCTGAACTTCAGGCACAAGGCCCTAATTTTAGTATTTGCTGAGTCAAAGAACTCGGGCCTCTTCTTTTCCCCACACCCATGTCTTGTCCATGTCTGTCTCTTGTGTGGCTTAGGGCAAAGATTCTGAGCTGGCTCACTGGATTGGTAGAAATGTTAGGAAGTGGCAGTGTACAGTGTGGGTGCCCATGCTAGGGTGTGCACAGGCCCGGCCTTAGCTGGGTGGCCAGAATAAGTGGATACAGCATGCCGGGGGCAGCTATTGACATCTGACATGGACTTCTGGAATTCGGCTTCCAAGCATCTGTTCTAGAGAAGTGCTCACACCTCACAGAGACAAATACAAGAGCGTTCACCGCTGTTGGAACTACCAGACGGTCCAGCAACAGGGAAACCACTCATTAGACCACGGGGTAGCCATTCTCTGGGATAGTAGGAAGCAGTTTGACAAAATGAGGTGGCTCCGCATACGCAGACCTGGAAGATTTCCAAGGCGTGCTGTTCAGCAACAGCTCAGAAGAGAGCGTGCGGGGAGGAACCACGTGCTTCAATGTGGGAAAGGACTGGGGGGCTGCATGCCCGCAAGTGGTGACTGTGAGTCCCTCTGTGGAGGGCAGTGACAGCAGGGGATGGGCTTTTCTGGGTAATGAGGATGTAACAGTTTATTTAATTGCTCACTTGCTGATGAGCAGTGGTTTCTGTCCATTTTCTGCTGCTTTAAAAGAATACCACCCACTGGGAAACTCCAAACAACAGAAGTTGATTTGGCTCATGGTTCTATAGGCTGGGAAGTCAGAGAGCGCGTGTGTCATGACGTGGTGGAAGCACAAGTGAGCGCCCGAGAAGCAGAGAGGAAATAAGCCCAAACTGATCCCTTCCATTGGGACCCCATGCCTGCCCCAGGAGAGTGAGCACAGAGCCTTCCTGTCTGCATCACCTCTTAAAGGGCCACAGTTGCACTGTCATTTCAATGACAATGCGGTCACACGGATGTCTTTGCGTGAGTGTGTGTGTGTGTGTGTGTGTGTGTGTGTGTCTGTGAAACTCCCAGAAACAGAATTGGGAGAAAAGCAACCACCTTGGTAATTTGAAATATCACAAATTTCTCCTCCTGGAAGCATACCATTTTGCACGCCCATCACTAACATAGGAATGTTTTTTTGACATAAATTGAGGTGAAATTTTACATAACATGAAATTTTACATAACATAAAATTAACCTTTTAAATGCGTATAGTTCAGTGGCACTTAATCCATTCACAGTGTTCTGTGGGGCAGAGACTTTTGTTTTGTCTACAGCATTTCAAAGGGGCTCAAGATGAGATGCATCCCTGTGTTTTTTTGTTTAACAAAAATTGAAAAGAAAAATAAAAGAGTATGGGCTTCCGAGGCAGAGAGCTCTGGGTCTGGATCCAGGGGCCACTCTTCACTAGTCATGTGACCCCAGGAAAATTACTAACTCCATGCAAGGCTCAGTTCCCACAGCTTGAAGAAAACTTGGGGTTAGTGAGAAGACTCTATGCTTTTTCTGTGTGAAAAGTAGCTGTCTCATCACAACAATGAATGTTGGTTGCTTTCTCTCCTGTGACCACGGGAGGTAAAGCATTCGTAGACTCTGGTCCCAGCAGCCCCTTTCTCTGTGAGATCTTGGGCTCGTTCCTCAACCTCTCAGAGCCCCAGTTTCTGCACAAGTCAAATGAGGATCATAGAGGGTGGTGAAGACTGAGATGATGCATACGAAGACTTTAAAATGGCACCAGCTATACACTCAATGCTTGTAAATTAGGGGCTGCTAAAATTTTTTTTTGCCAGCTCTTGGCACTGTGTTTGGGACCTTAGGGGCTCACTGGGTGAAAGACCCCCTGAAGCCGTAATGGCTCCTTCTCTCTGATCTTTCTCCCAGGGCCATTGGTGCCAACCCCCTGTACTGTGACTGCCACCTCCGTTGGCTGTCCAGCTGGGTGAAGACTGGCTACAAAGAACCAGGCATTGCCCGCTGCGCTGGGCCCTCAGACATGGAGGGCAAGCTGCTGCTCACCACGCCTGCCAAGAAGTTTGAATGCCAAGGTGAGTCCCGGAGCATGAGAGAAGGGTGGTGGGTGCCGTTACAACCCCACCTCCTGCTGCCAGGGACCCCAAGATTCGCCCAGTGTGGGGAGGCTTCCAGACACTCCTGTGTCCTTGTGGTGACCGCTGGGTGGGGTTCTGGTGACAGGAAAGAGGCACCTGCTGTTTGTTAGGATGGCTACCTTCCAGTCCTGACAGACAAGGAACAAGGCCACCAGGGCTTTAATCCTTTCGGTGTTTATGTAAGAAAGATAAAAATAGCAGCAGTGTTTCTGGAAGCGCCCAGCCTCAGCAGGGCCAGCGCTCGGCCTTCAGGGCTAGAAACTGCGCTTGCCAATTAGCTTAAACCTTGGTCCCGGTGGAGCTGAGGACCAGCTGCGGCTCTCTTGACATTTGCAGAAAACAGCCTGAGCGTGACTGGCGGCTCCTTCTGGCTTGGCTCTGGGGCCGCTCACCTCGCGCCCCTGTAAATACTTGCTCAGGGCTTGATTGACTGACTGGCCGATGGCGGAGCCCCCGAGGCCCTGCCCGGCATAGACAGGTGGCTGAGCCGCTGTTCCAGACCTAGCTTTGTGCGGAGGGGGGGCCAGTGGGGGAGGGCCCCAGGGATTTGGGGGCGCGGCCCTTGCTCTCAGAGGCCACGATCGGAAATGAAACTGACAGCCGTAGGTTAATGAGGAGGCCACGGACCACCCTGGGTGTAGGAGGCTGTTACAGCAGCAACAGTTCAGAGGGGCCGTCTCTGTGGCATGGCTCTTGGGAGCCAGCCAATTACACTACGTGTGCTCAGTATTTATTGAATGGGGTGGGGTTGGCACTGTTTTTAACTTTTTTTTTAGTTGTAGATGGACACAATCCCTTATTTTATTTATTTATTTTTATGTTGCACTGAGGATGGAACCCAGTGCCTCCCACGTGCTAGGCAAGTGCTCCACCACTGAGCCACAGCCACAGCCCTGTTTTTTAACTTTTTATTGAACTACCACCTGCATACAGAAAAGTACACTTGATCTGAAGAGCCCAGTGACTCTTCACTAACTTAACTGCCCAGGTAGCTGGCACCCAGGTCAGGGAACAAACCCCACCTGTGCTGTGGAAGTCCCCCTGGTGTCCCCTCAGCTTATGAAAAGGATTTTTCTGTTGGTGCTCCTGGCTCTTCAGCAGAACCAATACTCCACCCCTTCCAGAAGAAGCCTTATGGGCTAACCTGAGTTAACTGGCCTGTTTCTCCTGTTTATTCTATTGAGATCCTAATGCCCCTCATAGGTGACACCCAGTAGCACAGCCCCTGGCTTCTCCACCCACTTCTACAGCCAGTGAGACCTGAAGGGGCTAGAGAGGGGCCTGCTGTAGTCAGGGAGGTGACAGGAAGGGTCTTTCCTGCTTTAGGCTTGGAGAAGAACAACTTGAAGGCATATGGACCCTGATGTGGCCTCCCCACAGAGCCAAGCTCAGGCACCATGCTCGCTCTCTACTGAGGTGGCCACCTTTCATCAACCTGGTCAGGAGGCAGCAGGCATGAGGGTGTGAGGGGGCAGAGGGAATGTCAGCTGACTTCAGGAATAATGACCATGCCACTCACATACTGATGACCTGGCCCTAACTGTCATGTGTGTGGCTCATGTAGTCCTTCCAACCCAGTATTGACCCATGTTACAAAGGAGGGTCCACAGGCTGGACAAGTGGACGGTGCAGGGGGCAGGTATGAGCCTGAGAAAACACAGTGAGGGGCAAGAGTCTCCTTGGGGAGAAGACGTCCCACCATTCAACAAAGTTGGGCTTCTCAGGGCTTGGGGTTTCCGGGCCCAGACTTGTGCCGCTCCTTCCACTCTCTATGCTTATATCCTCCTAAATCCTCCACAGGTCCTCCTACTCTAGCTGTCCAAGCCAAGTGTGATCCCTGCTTGTCCATTCCATGCCAGAACCAGGGCACTTGCCACAATGATCCCCTGGAGGTGTACAGGTGTGCCTGCCCTAGTGGCTATAAGGTGAGTGGACGAAGCTGGGAGGGCGTACACTGTGGGGCACAGACAGGCAAGGTTGGGTCTGTCGTGTTTTCCAGGCTGTCCTCAGTACCCAGAGCAGTGCCTGGCTCAGAGCAGGCACTTGAGTGAGCCTGTCATCAGTGATCTAACGTATGGATGGATGGGTGGGTGGGTGAAAGAATGATAAGTAACTCCTGGGACAGGGGGGCTGAGCCACTGAGGGGCTAGCTGTCTCTACTCAACACACTAATCCCCAGGTCTCCCTGGAGTCCCTGTCACTGACCTTTCCCTCCAGGGCCGAGACTGTGAGGTATCCCTGGACAGCTGTTCCAGCAGCCCTTGTGGCAATGGAGGGACGTGCCATGCCCAGGAGGGCCAGGATGGTGGCTTCACGTGAGTGGCCTGGGGGCAGGAGCCTGGGTGGGGGGAATGTTTTGATGGGACCAGCAACTACACCTTGGTGTTATACTTCCCCCAAGGGGATGGCCCAGGCCTCCGTGTGTTCCAGGAGATGGGTGGGGGTAGAGGCTCAGGGGGAGCAGACAATGCTGTGAGACATAGCTGTGCCCAGGGGACAGCCAGAGTCACAAAGGAAGCGCTCATGGATGAGCTGGGGCTTGGGCCTGCTCTGCAGCTTCTTGCTCTAACAAGGTACTGGGCGCTGAAGGGTCTTTGCAGGATACTGGGACGCAGTGCCAGGAGCAGACTGGGAACAACTAAGATTCATTTATGTTCAACCACAAAACCTCTGCTCTGAGCCGGACAGTGTGCTGGCTGTGCAACTTGCCTGAAGTTGCCCCTCCTGTCCAGCTGCCACCCTGCACCCCCAGGAACAGCAGAGGCTGCCATTGGGTGGGTGAGGCCTGCCCAGAAGGGGTGCCAAGTCCCCATCATTCCCTCTGGGGTTCTCCCCAGATCTCATGACTCACATTGACCACCGCAGAGAGGGGACAGCCCTCTGGACCCACCATGAGCACTCATTTCCCTGTAGAGTGCAGAGTCCAACCTCAAGTTCTCTCTGAGGTCCTGCGGCTGCTGACGTCACCATCTAAGCCCCTCCCATCGATCTGTTCCGCCTCCTGCCCCCACCGACCCCCTCACCCTCCCAGGGTACAGAGTGTTTGGTTGCTGGAAAATAAATTGGCCGCTCAATAAATTGGCTCTTGAGAAAATGATGTTGAATCTACCGGCAGAAATGGCCAAACCTGCCTCTGCAAACCCAAATTACCAGACGTAAAACACGAAAGTCTAAGAGGCCTCTCCCGGCGTCGCCTTGGAAACGCGTCCTCCTCCTGCTCTCAGCCTGGGCCGCAGCCCCAGCAGCGTTCCCCTCCCGGCTCCGCTCCTCCGCGGGGACTGAGGCCCCTCGCGCTCAGCAGCCCTGCAGCCTGGGACGCCCGGGTGGGCCCTCCAGGTAGAAGGGGGTGCCTCCTTAAGTCACCCCTCCACCGGAGGCTTCTCCGGCCCCTGCCCACTCCCACTGCCCTATCCTTGGCTCCCGCCAGAGGGGCTTTTTGCAATGCCAAGTGACCCTGTTATCCCAGCTTAACATGCCCACCCACCCCCACCCACACGCCATTAAAATTAAACCCCAGAACATGCCCTGCAGCTGGGGTCTTCAGAGGGCTTTACCCGACCCCCACCCCCACCCCCAAATATAAACCCGTACCACCGTCCTTAGATTGACAGCTAAAATTTTTCATCAAAATAAAATTTAATTTTTCTTTGCAATGTAGATAAGGTCTTAGATAGTGTAATGTTATTAATATTTAAAGATGAAACGATCACTTAGTCACTCTTTCCTTATCCTCCAGTGGCAATGGGAAGAGCATTGCAATCTGACACCATTTTTAAATGCCCTGAATGCAGGGAAATGCTCCCCCCACCCCTTCCTTCTCCTGGAGCTAGTGTTCCCATCATGCTCCCCCCTCCCATTCTCTGTAGAGTGTATTAGGATTTGAAGCCCCACAGTCTTCTCTTCGGGAGCACCTGCTGGCTTCTCTGCCACCAACAAGGAGTCTAAGTGTTAACATGTAAAGTCTTCTTTTTGGTATTTCTCGTCAACATAAGTCTGATTAGCTTCTTTTGAGTTTTCATGACAATTGCCAATAACATACAATCATTCAAAACAAGAAAACCACATGATGAAATTTGGTAGTTATTATGCATGAAGGTAAATCTTACTAGACTGTGTCCCTTAATGAAACTTAAGGGTATGGACAGGGTACTTTTCTGGAGTTCTTTTCTTCTCTGAATGGGTTCACGTGTCCAGGGGTGATGGGACAGAGCAGGAGAAGGCTCAACAGCCCTGGTTGTTGGCTTTGTTTTTATAGATGTAAATGCTGGGAAAGTTTGTTCACATAAATACACCAACAGGATTAGGAGGAGTTTTATTATAGCCATGTCACTCAGTTCTTTGAAACTCTTCCCAGTTGATGTACCCAAACCCCCAGAGTGATCTATCACCAAAGGTATTTTTCATGCTCTGTCAGCTGAGAGTTCCGTGAGGCCTCCCATCACTTGCAACATGCGGAACCGGAAACCTCTTGACTTACAAAACCATTTGTTCTGCTTTCTACGCATCAGAGTCCCCAGTTGTTGTTTTACTTGGTGCCTCACACCTTGCACTTGGGAGTCCTGGACAGAGCAGCTTAGGGAGGAGCCTGTGTGGACATTTGAAGAGGGGGATGTCAATTTCTCAGACCTCTCTCTGACCCTCACACCACTTGGAAAACCTCAGGTGCCTCAGGGGAAGTTATCACCCTGGTTTGAGGGTCACTGATCTCCAGGACCCTCCACAACCCAGCTCCTGCCCCCCTCAGCCCCATTCTCCCTGAAGCCTGCGCTCCACATGCTGCCCCTGAACTGCGTAGATGAGCAGGGCCCTTCCTGGAGGATGTGCGTGGAAGTCAGGCTTTTGGACATTCCTCTGTCCCTGCTGCCTTCCCTCCCCTTCCTGCTCCTTCTGTCTGGGTCCTTGAATAGGTCAATTTGTCCCCTCCTCCAGGAAACCTGCCCTGGGCGACCCCACCAAGGAGGAGTTAGTTGTCCTCTGCCCCTGTCTGCCCACACCCTGGTTTCAGGCACGTCTATCACCCCACACTCCCCACCTCTGCTCTAGTCACCGGTCTTTTTCACTAGACTGTGATTGAGTCCCTTGAGGGCAGTGTCGGTCTTGTTCACCTGTAACTTACCTTAACAGCCCCTGCCAAGGGCCTGGCCCAGAGTAGAAACCCTGATTCTGTGGAATGATGATCGAGTGGGGACACAGGTTTCCATCTGTGCCTCTCCCTCTTACCATCCCCCACAGGTGCTCCTGTCCCATCGGCTTTGAAGGACCAACCTGTGAGGTGAACACGGATGACTGTGTGGAGCATGCCTGTGCCAATGGAGGCATCTGTGTGGATGGTGTGGGCAACTACACCTGCCGGTGCCCCCTGCAGTACACGGGTAAGCATGGTGGGGCCAGAGCACACGCCGGAGCCCTGTGCTGTGGGTGGCAGGTCTGGGGCCTTCTCAGTGTCTGAGGAGGTTCTGCTGGGCCTGGCTTCTCTCCTGCCTCTTGCTCCTTATTCCCCCAGGAAGGGCCTGTGAGCAGCTGGTGGACTTCTGCTCCCCGGATCTGAACCCATGTCAGCACGAGGCCCAGTGTGTGGGCACCCCAGATGGGCCCAGGTCAGTGGCACCCATTGCCAGGGATTTCAGTCTGGGCTCTGCCTTCTCCCCATCCCTCCTGTTCTCACCTGTCAGAGGGTTTGTTCTCAGCGATGCAGGGTGCAGAGGGTGGGTATGGGTACCACTCTGGCCAGAGAGACCTATCTGCATCATCACCCCGAATGAATCAGTTGGCTGCACTGTTTCAGATCTTCAGCTGTGTGGCAGCAGCTTCCTCCTGGGGTGGTTGCAATGATTAGGTGAGAAAGTATATGACAAGCACTTTCTTCTGTGTCCAGCATCCAAGTTCTCCACCCAGAGTCAATTGTTCCAGATCCACAGCTGTTTATCCCAATTACAAAATCCACGAAACTCTAAAGACCAAAAACTTCTTCCGAAGGCACAGTAGGCCCTCACCCGAACATATTTGTTAAGAAGGGCTGAGCTGGGCTGATATGAGGCCATTTCCACTTGTTGCTCATCTCATGGAGTGTGGATATGTACAGATTTTACTACCAAAATGTAAACTTTTCGGCTTATAGGGCTACCTCCGACCACCTCAGCAGGTTATATCATCCACTGTTTTATGGACTATTTTACCAATGCCAAGAAGTTCTGAATTCCAGAGCCCGTTCAGCCCCGTTCAGCTGTCCTATATTATTGTCATCGCTGGGTGGAATCCCCTAGGAAGCCTGCCATCTAGCAAGAGCTGCCTGATATCCATGGGCAGAAAGTTAGTGTCAGAAGATGACTGAGGCCTGGATACACCATCAGTGGGCTGCATCAAACCTCCATACAAATGATGGACAGATGCTACACTCCTGCAGTGGCAGGGCAGACCAGGGACACACTGGGTGGCAGGTATCCTCCTCAGAGATGCTGTGTCTCAGAGGGTGGAATGGAGCAGGATTTCAAACAGGCAATTAACCCGCTTTGGAACAGCTGGCATCATCCTTCATGCCACAGAGAACGAGTACTGTGCTTTGCCCTGGGCCCAGGCTGCAGCACAGGGTTATACAGTGCACATCTCTCAACTTCCTATCCTGGTGTGGTGGCAAGATGGAACTGACACTCAGCACTGTGCCTAGAAACCAGACAGTATTCAATACACAGTCACTGGGTGGGTGGATAGGTGGATGGATGGATGGATGGATGGATGGATGGATGGATGGAGTGGGTGGTGGTTCAGCTACTGTAACAGTTTTTCAAAATGCAACTCAAGACCCAATTTAAGTAGATAGTGATCAATTGGGTAAGTCGTTAACATTAAAAAAACAAAACGTCAGAGAGCAATGTACCATTTTATAAGGTAAGAATAAATATTGTTGCACCAAATTGATGTGTGTGTGTGTGTGTGTGTGTAGGCAGCGGGCTGAAAGATATTTCTTAGATCCTGAAAAACACTGAGTTCAGGAATGAGTAAAATAATCCAGGCAAGGGAACTGATCTGCTCATTGTGTGGTTGAACAGTGGAGTTCGGAGTTCAGAAGGGATTCAGAGAAGAGATTGCTCAGTGAGGGGTGGTGTTCACTAGAGGTGAGGTATTGGCTTGGCTGCACCATGCAGAGGGTGCTCCAGAATCAACAGTTGTATCTGGCAGGTGTGGGCTTGGTGGGGGGAGCGGATAGGCTGCTGGACAGGGAATGTCTTGCAAGGCCATTACTGGAAAGGGGAGAGAGAGTGTGCCCTTTATTTGATAGGCAAATGGTTGGCCAAGACAGATTTGGGGGGAGACAGTGATGTGGTGAGAGCTGGGAGGCTAGAGGGAGGCTGGCCTGGGGCCAAGGTTCCTATTGAGAGGCACATGCCCTGCTAAAGGATGGGCCCAACAGAGTTGGAGAGTCTGGGTAAGAGGGTGGCTGAGCCATGTGATGCAAGACCATGATGTGCCCGGGGTTGTGCAAGAGCACGGAGGGAGTAGCTGAGCAGCAGGGCAGGTTAGAAGAGGGTTGGCCTTGCATGTGGAGGCAGGTTCTCTGGGACAAAAGTCTCATTTCCTCCTGCTGCTGGGCCTCCACTGTTGGAGGCCGTGACCAAGTCAAGATGGCACCTGGCAGTTTGCCAGGAGGAGTGGCTGGTGAGGTCGCAGCCTCCAACACTCCACCCTCTCAATCCAGGTCCCCCCAACCCCACATAAACTCTCTTCTCACGCTGGAAAACACTCTCAGGATGGGCTGGGTCCCCTTTATATCCAGGACTCTTTTTGGCCTCCTGGTGGTCTCCACAGGGACTTGAGGTCCTCTGTCACATGAACACGCAGTATGGGCCCTGGCCACCTGGGCTCTGGGCTGTGTGGCTGACACCCCCACCCCCCACCCCCAGGTGTGAGTGTGCACCAGGTTACGCGGGTGACAACTGCAGTGAGAATCAGGACGACTGCAGGGATCATCGCTGCCAGAATGGGGCTCAGTGCGTGGACGAGGTCAACAGCTATGCCTGCCTCTGTGCCGAGGGCTACAGGTGAGCCCCCGGGATGCACCTGAGCCGCTGCTCTAGCTGTCCGTCTGGGCTGGCTGGGTCAGAGTGTGGTAGACGAATCCTGGATTTTTAACCATGGTTCTGCCAATCCTAGCTGTGCAACCTGGGAAAGTCATGTATGGCTCAGAACCTAGGCAGAGGGTCCCTAACCTGTTAGTGGGGGATGGGAGGCAGGTACAGATTACTGGGAAGTGTTCATGACTTACTCTTCGGGCTGAACTGTGGAAGTCATGTCCTGCCGTAAAGGTCATCTACCTTCTCCTGGGGGCTCCCCTGGGAAGCTGGAGGGGCTGCCTTCTGGCCACCCACCTCCCACGCTCTGCTTGTGTCTTCTTTTATACCCTCATGGTGCTGGTGATGGAATCCAGGGCCTCACTGATGCTAAACATGCCTCCACCACTGAGATACACCCCAGCTCCTTGTGTTGTTTTTTAAAAATACCTTTATCAACATATAATTCATATACCATAAGATTTGAAGTGTAAAATTCAATGGTCTTTCATATATCCTCAGAATTGTGCATCTATCACAATAATCGATTTAGAACATTTTCCTTATTCCAGAAGGAAACTCCATACCCATCATCTGTCACTTCCGGCCCACCCTCCAGCATTTTCTAATCTACTAATAAGTGTGTTTGTGAACATATTCTGGACATTCAATTTAATGGAATCATACAATGCATTGTCTGTTGTGTCTATTTCTTTCACTTAGCATGACATTTTCAAAGTTTGTTCATGTTGCGGTATGTATCAACACTTCAGTCCTGAGTGTAGTCCATTGTATGGATATACCACAATTTGATATCCACTCATCTGTTTACAGACATTTAGGTTGTTTCTACTCTTTGACTATTATGAATACTGATGCTATGAAGAGGGTTTTGTGTGGACATACATTTTCAATTGTCCTGGGTATATCCCTAGAAGGGGACTTGCTGCATCACATGGTCAGTGCCAAACTGTTTTCCAATGGCACCATCATTATATATTCCCCCCTGCAGTGTATGAGGGTTCCAATTCCTCTACACCCTCTACAACTGCTGTCTTTGGTTTCTAGCCTTCCTAGTGAGTGTGAAGTGATATCTCATTGTGGTTTTGATTTCCATGTTGTTAAAGGCTAATGAAGTTGAGCATCTTTGCATGTGCTTATTGGCATTTTTGATATCTTCTCTGGAGAAATGTCCAGTCAAGTCCTTTGCCTGTTTTTTCAATTGAGATTTTATCATTGAGTGTAAAGGCTCTTTATATATTGTAGGCAAGGCCCTTATCAGATAAATGATTTGCAAATATTTTCTTCCATTCTGTGGGTTGTCATATTTTTTAAATATTTTTTTAGTTATACATGGATGCAGTATCTTTATTTTTTTAATTTACTTTTGTGTTGTGCTGAGGATCAAACCCAGTGCCTCACATGTGGGAGGCAAGTGCTCTACTGCTGAGCCACACACCCACCAGTCTTTTGATAATATCCTTTGATGCACAGGTTTTAAATGTTGATGATTTCTAATTTATGAATTTTTTACTTTTTTTGCTTGTATGTTTGGTGTTATATCTGCTGCCTAATTCAAGATCATGAAGATTTATATCTATGTGGTCTTCTAAGAGTTTTATAGTTTTAGCTCTTAAGTTTAAAAGGTCATTGACCCATTTTTGATATTTTTATATATGGTGTAAAGAAGGTGTCCAACTTCATTCTTTTGTATGTGGATATCCACTTTATTTGTTGAAAAGACTATTTTCCCCTCCCATTTGTCGTGTTTGTGTGTGTATGTGTGTGTGTGTGTGTGTGTGTGTGTTTTAAACCAGTTGTCTATAAGTGTGAGGCTATTTCTAGACTCCCAATTTTTATTCCATTGACCTGTATGGTTTTCTTATGCCAGCCTCACATTGTTTTGATTACTGTAGTTTTGTAATACATTTTGAAATTGGGAAGCATAAGTCCTCCTATTTCATTATTTCTGGAGATTGTCTTGACTATTTTAGGTAGGTTCCTTGAATTTCCATAAAAATAGGATCCATCTGTCAATTTCTGCAAAGAAGTCAATCAGGAATTTGATAGGGATCATATTGGTCAATTTCAGGAACAATGCTAGTAAGTCTTCTGATGTCTTTCTATCTATTTAGACCTTCTTTAATTTCTTTCAATAATTGTTTTGTAATTATCAAAGAAAGTTTTGCACTTATTCTTAAAACTTGTTCCCGAGTATTTTATTCTGTTCAATGGTATGGTAAGTGGAATTGATTGTTTAATTTCATTTTTCCTTTGATTTTTGTGCGTCAACTGTATCCTGCAATCTTGCTGAATTCTTTAATTAGTTCTGAGTGCATTTTAGTGGGTTCTTTAGGATTTTCTTACATAGGATCATGTCATGTGAAAGTAGAGATAGTTTTCTTTTTTTCCAAAATCTGGATGCATTTTATTTCATTTTCTTGTCTAACTGATCTGGATAGAATCCCTAGTACAATATAGCGTAGAAGCTGTGAGAGCAGATGTCCTTGTCTTGGGGGATAATCCTTCAGTCTTTCATTATTAAATGTTATATGATTTTTGTGGGTGCCCTTCATTAAATTAACTTCCTAATTTGTTGAGTTAAAACAACCTTGGATTCCTGGGGTATATCCCAAATGATCATGGTATATAATGCTTTTTATGCTGGTTTTGATGTTTGTGTGTGTATGAGTGTGTGTATGAGTGTGTGTGTGTGTGTGTGTGTGTGTTCCAGGGTTGGGTAAGCCAGAGCCTTACACATGCTAGGCAAGTGCTCCATCATTCAACTATCTACCAGTCCTTAATATTTTGTTAAGGATTTTTGTGCCCATATTTATAAGAGATATCAGTCTGTGATTTTTGTTGTGAGGTCTTTGGCTTTGGTATCAGAGTTAGTTTTTTTTTTTTCTTTTCTTTATTTTTCTGAAGAGTCTGTGAAGAATTTATATTAATTCTTCTTTAAATATTTTGTGGGATTCACCAATGAAACCACCTAGGCCTGGGAAGTTCTGTGATTATTCAGTTTCTTTACTCCCATGTTACTGACACCAGCAGTGAGTGCTTCTCAATCATTATTATACACATGAACCACCTGAAACCTTTTTACAAGCAGATTCAGTAGGCTTTCCCCTTCTGACAGGTAACGTCCGTGCTGCTGAACCAGGGGCCAGCCAACCACACTTGTGCTCAGTACCCTTCCACAGGGGGGAAAAATGTGTTCACTAAGAACATCTTCTGTCACTTTAAGGCTCTGTTTCCCCAGGATGTTTAGTGAATTCCTCTCCAGGACTCTTCTTCCTTTGGCTGGGCCTTCTCTGACCTGTGTCCTTTCCCCTCAGCGGACAGCTCTGTGAGATCCCCCCACACCCACCTGCCCCCAGGAACCCCTGTGAGGGGACTGAGTGCCAGAATGGGGCCAACTGTGTGGACCAGGGCAGCCGGCCTGTGTGCCAGTGCCTCCCAGGCTTCGGTGGCCCTGAGTGTGAGAAGTTGCTCAGTGTCAACTTTGTGGATCGGGACACTTATCTGCAGTTCACTGACCTGCAGAACTGGCCACGGGCTAATATCACACTACAGGTGGGTACCCAGGGCGCCTGTTCCCAAGAGGGAGTCAGGGAACAGGGGACCATGGCCTCAGGTCAGAGCATCAGACCGTACCTCTGCCTAGGGGACCTAGAAGGGACATGTGTCAGTCAAAACTCCTCCTGGCTATTGGGGACTCAGCTTGAGCCGGTTTGGATAGTTGGGAAGGTAACTAAGCCACACATCAGGCAAGGTGGAGGCAGTCCGCGGGGAGGCTGGATTCAGAAAACCAAGCTCGTCAGGATCCTTCCCCACCGTCTTCTATCTCAACTACTCCTTGGCTTCTGCCTCCTGTGCTGCACACAGGCTGGTTTTATGTGGCCAGAGCTCTGGGCTTGGGTCTCTGACCAAAGGTCCCTGAGTTGCCCTTTTTATATCTTCTATTTTGTCTTAGAACGTGATCATGTTACAGATAAAAAGAAAGCAAGTTCCACTTCAACAACACAGAAATGTGCACATTTTGTATATCCATATTCTGCTAAATATTTCTTGGGAGAGTGGATTGTATTGCATATTACCCCAAAGAAAAGTTAGACTCCTCCTTAGTCATCTCTCTCCCCAAAATCCCATTCCTGATGGCAAATGCCACGTCTTTCTTCTCTCTTTCTTTTGTCCCCTTCTTTTTCTCAGAACCTTTCAGCCTCCCACACATGCTCATTCGGCTCTCCTCCCCACGTCACTTCTCCAAAATCCTGTCCACTCACATTATCCTCACAGCAGGACAAGAGCCAGCCTTAGCTGCTTAACAAAATGAAACTCACCCAAACCCTCATCCTTGGTCTAGTCCTCATAGCCCCAGAAAGTCCCATTACCAGACCCAAAGGGGCTCTTCCCTGCCAGCTCTAAACAGACAACAATCAGCAGTCTCAGGGGAGTTCTCTGATTGGCCCGGTCTCAGTCACATGCCCATCCCTGTACCAACCGCTGGATCCGAGGAGATGGGGTAGTATGATGGGTCCTGCCTGAACCGTGTGCCCACCTCCAGGGATCAGGGGCTCAGGGTCTTTATCAGAAGATAGTAGGGGAGAGACTCAAGGCAGAAGGAACAGATCATGGCCCCCAGAGCAACTGAGGGGACCTCCCTTCCAAACAAAAATCCTGCTCTTGCTTGTCTGTCACAACAGCTCCAGTGACAGACACTATCTCCTGAGAGGCTCTTTCCAGATTTGGACAATTCTGGCTGAGACAGCCCTCCTGCCCTTGTCCCCTCTCTAGTCCTCACCCTGTGTGGCTAGCTCCCACAAAGGCCCTCCCTTCACCTGGGAAGTGGGGGTCCCAGTCTGCCTCTCCCTCTCTGGGGCAGACTCCCCAAGATTCCTCTGTTCCTCTGGTACATCTTTTCTAGGTCTCAGCTGGCTTGTCTGTCCTTCTGCCTGGACCTGACCAGACTGGCAGTAGTTGGTATTTGAATCCTAGACTGCCAGCCTCTGTCAGTGCCTCCTAGAGAAGTGGCCCCTGGGGAGGTTGGCCAGGCAGGGAAGGATGCCTCTGCACACAGCCTGGCTTGTCCAGTTTCTGTGCCACCCACTGCTACTGTGAGGGGTGGGGTGGGAGAGAAAGTGCTTTGCCCATTAGGTCTCCACTGCAGAGGACAACGGGATTCTGCTGTACAATGGAGACAACGACCACATCGCAGTTGAGCTGTACCAGGGCCACGTGCGTGTCAGCTATGACCCAGGCAGCTACCCCAGTTCTGCTATCTACAGGTAGGGCTTCCTCGTGCTCCCCACCTACCCTCAGGGGCAGGGCGACTGCCAGGGAAGTATAGTTGTTGGGACCACTAGAAACTTGGGCCGCCCATCAGGTCCAACCCCAGCTTAGCGTGAGGCTCTCTAAGGTCTAAGGGGTGGCCTCTCCTTCCCCATCCCAACCCTAACCTCAGAGGAGGTTCTCCAATAGTGGGGGCCTCTGCCCCTAACTTCTCAGTTTCTCCCTAGGGCCCCAGAAAGGGGCCTGACAGATTTAGTCACTTTGGAAGTAGCTACTGGGCCAATGGCCAGAGGTGCTCCAAAATGACACCTACTCCTTTGGGTGGGGGCACCCCATCTCCTTCCAGTGCCGAGACGATCAATGACGGGCAGTTCCACACTGTTGAGCTGGTCACCTTTGACCAGATGGTGAATCTCTCCATCGATGGTGGCAGTCCCATGACCATGGACAACTTTGGCAAACACTACACGCTCAACAGCGAGGCCCCTCTTTACGTGGGAGGTGAGGAACTGGTGCTGGGGACGCTGCAGCTGTCTTTCTCCAGGATTCTCCATTGGACCATGATGTCAGTATCCCAAGGTGGGGGCCTCTGGCTCTCTGGCCTGAGTGGCCCAGGAGACCTGATACCCAGGGCACTGCACTGTGAGGGGAAATGCCAAGAGGTGGGTGTTGTCCTAGTGAAAGGCCAAGTTGCTGGTGGATTGTCCTCCCCTGCCTGGAGCCCAGGCTGCTCTTTGCCCAGTTCTGCTGACCAAGAAGGATGGGGGACAGGCCTAGGAGAGGGCCTGGGGCTTTCCCGGCTGTCTCCCTCACCGTGTTCACCTTTCTTCTCATCTTTGGGCCAGAAGGGGCTCCATTCCCAATCTTAGGCCCTCGGAGGTCAGAGCTACTGCTAGAGGCAGTCCACGCATCAGCTGTAAACACCCACTGGCCGTACAGGTGTTGCAGGCCAGGTGATCCCGTCCACCACCCACAGACATTTCTGGTTTGGTTGGAGCCAGGCTCTGGGTACAGTGGGAGAGGGCTGCTGATTCCTGGCCCCCTGGTTCTGGTGCCACCTCTGTCTCTGCTCTTCGAGCAACTTCAGGCAAGTCGCTGGTCATCTGTCAGGTAGATTTTGGAACCCCGATCTCAGAGGGTAGCTGGGAAGCAATGACCATCAGAACCAAGGGGGCCAGTGCTCAGGCCAAGTCCTTGGCTTTTATTGGGGTCTCGAGTGATAAAAGCTAGTGCTCTAGAGGGGAGAAAGGAGCCCTGGGTAGGGCAGCCTGGAACCTCACTTGCCAACTGCCATGCCGGGCTGAAAACCCAGCTGTCATCCCAGGGAAAGCAGCTTTTCCGTGGCTTCTGGGAAATGAATCTGGCCCTCCAGGTGGCAAAGCCTTAGGGTCACAGGGCCAGAAGGACAGAGACTGAGGGTAACAGGGGACACTAGAGCTGCCTAGCAGATCTCAGAGTTGGGTGCTACGCCCGGCCTGATTCAGCCTGGCTTTGCTCCCTGCCCACCCCAGGGATGCCCGTGGACGTGAACTCAGCTGCCTTCCGCCTGTGGCAGATCCTCAATGGCACCAGCTTCCACGGTTGTATCCGAAACCTGTACATCAACAATGAGCTGCAGGACTTCACCAAGACGCAGATGAAACCAGGCGTGGTGCCGGGCTGCGAACCCTGCCGCAAGCTCTACTGCCTGCGTGGCATCTGCCAGCCTAGTGCCAGCCCGGGGCCTGTGTGCCACTGTGAGGCTGGCTGGGGGGGCCTGCACTGCGACCAGCCAGCTGACGGCCCCTGCCATGGGCACAAGTGAGTATGGGGTGGGCTGAGGGAGGCCTTGCCCCTGCCCTTTCCCACATTCTACTTGTCCATGTGAGGGCCACCTCTCAAACTGTAGTTTGAAACCCCTAAATTGGAGCACGGAACCTAACACAGCTCCCCCACCCACCTCCATACTGGTTTTCCATGTTTATTAACAGGAAAAGGCTCATAAGGACAAACAGAATTGTTTTTTTTTCCCCTTGGTTTAAATCTTGTGACAAAATAACAGTCCTGTGAAGTCAAGGCTGGGAGGGGTGGGCCTTGGGTTGGCTGGTCCTCACGGTGACTTTTCTCTGTCTCCTCCAGGTGTGTCCATGGGGAATGTGTGCCCCTTGATGCCCTTTCCTACAGCTGCCAGTGCCAGGATGGGTACTCAGGGGCTCTGTGCAACCAGGTCGGGGCGGCTGCAGAGCCCTGTGGGGGCCTGCAGTGCCTGCATGGCCACTGCCAGGCCTCGGCCACCAAGGGGGCACACTGTGTTTGTGACCCTGGCTTTGTGGGCAAGCTGTGTGAGCAAGGTCAGGGGCCCCCCTCCTGATGTGCCCTCTGCAGGGTCTCTCCCCACAAAATGCATAGCAACTTGGTGTTTCCTTCCTCCCAACCTCAGCTACCCTCCCCACTCCTCTCCACTTGAGGCTACTCCTGGCCTTTTGGTGTCCCCCACCCTCTGTGCACTGAGCTCCACTCCCCACCTCCCCTGGGTCCAGCCCACCCCTCAGCTGCCCTTTTTGGCTGAGGTCTCTGGTTACAGAAGAGATCACCGAGGTAACAGCTCCTAGCCAGATCACCACATCTTGGTCCCATCCACTCTGGACCTGGGAGTGGCCGAAGTCTGAGGGTTTGGGACCCCTTCTCAAGCCCTCCCCAGACAGCTTGACCAGGATGCTGAGTCGGAATCTAGACTGCTGAGGCTGGGCAGGGGAAGCAGGGGAAACCCAGACCTGGGGCCCCTTTGGGCCATCACCTCCCCAGCAGGGATTTCTTTTATAATGTCATCATCCCCTCCAGGCTTCTGTAAAGGGAGGCATCTTACTCCGGCAGCTAGGAATTTCCTCCTTCCCCCTGGCCACACTGTGGGCCCCAGGAGGAAGCTATGCGAAGGTGCATGCTCAGAAGGTGGGAGGACGCTGGGGACAGAGGGGCGTGAGAGCATGCTGCCCGCTTCCTCCTCCTTCTCCTGGGGCAGCAGCTGGACCCTGAGTGTACCCTGAGGCTTTCTCTTGGTGTCTGTCCCATCCAGAGTCCGAATGCCGGGGGGACCCTGTGCGGGACTTTCACCGGGTCCAGAGGGGCTATGCCATCTGCCAGACCACGCGCCCACTGTCGTGGGTGGAGTGCCGGGGCACGTGCCCGGGCCAGGGCTGCTGCCGGGGCCTGCGGCTGAAGCGGAGGAAGCTCACCTTCGAGTGCAGCGATGGGACCTCTTTTGCTGAGGAGGTGGAGAAGCCCACCAAGTGCGGCTGTGCCCTCTGCGCGTAGTGGGCGCGGGCCGGCGGCGGGCGGCAGCTGGGCTGGGGGTGCGGGCCATCACCAGGACGGCGCCAGGCCCTGGGCAGCGCGGGTGGCCTCGACAGCCTTTCTAGCTTTGGCCGGGCGGAGGGGCGAGGCCAAGCTGCCGCCCTCTCCGGAAGTGCCTTGCACAAATAGGCGCTTAATAAATATTTGTTGAATGAATGTGTGCGTGAGGTCAGGCCACGAAGGCAGAGTGGTGGCACCCCTCCATGCCTGCTACCTGGTCTGAAGAAGGGGGCTGATCCTTTCTCAAGCTGGCCTTCCCCCTGGGGCCTCTGCGAGTAACGGCCTCACTCCTGCTGCCACAGCATCTTGCTGGCAGCAGGTCGCGGGCAGAGCGGAAGGGCCTCCTCTTGCCACAGGAAAGGGGCTGCCCCACCCGGTTGGCACTGCTTGGGAAGGATGCTGGGGCGGAGTTGGTTCTTAAGACCAGGCCTTGAATCCTGATGTGTAGGATGACCACTGTAGCTTCTATGAGGGGGTTCCCGGGGAAGGCAGACCCCACCAAAGAGGGCAGGAAGGTCTGGCTCCAGTTGAGTAAACATCACCTGCCTCCATCACTAGCCCAGCAAGGGACACTGCACCTGGGCTCCCCAGCCACCCACCCATTACAAGCTGTTGGTGAACTACTGGCAATGGGTCAGGTGTGAGGGTTTGGTGACCAGGCAGGGGTCTCCTTTGTGAAGTTCAGCTCAGGTCTCCTGGCACTGAAGGTCAGTAGGGAGCACTGGGGTCACAAAGGTCGTCATCATGGCCTTTGTCAGCTGTCATGCTGGGCAGACTTCTCTCCATCTGGACCTCAGGGTCCTCAGCTATAAAATGGGGAGGAACAAAAGGAACTGGGAAAGATTCTCCTGCTGTGGTCTCAGAAGGAAACCTGAGGAGTTAGAAGTCCCATTCTCATAAATCACAGCCACAAGTATTTATGTGCCTAACCTGGGACGGGATACTGTGGGCATCCAGCCCTAATGGGCGGGCATGAACCAATCCCTGTGCACTGCAGGAGTGACCAGGATGCCTGGGAAGAGTAGAGCCCAGTGGGGCTCTGGCCATTGACCCTTGTTGGGACTGCAGCTGCCCACCCTAGTGTTCGAGCTACTGGGTGTGGGATTCTCTGACACAGCTTATCTGGCATGCTGAATCAAGTAGGTGATTTCTGAATCTGAGAGTTAGCAAAGGGAGGAAAAGTTACTCTTCTTTCCAGATGTCTCCCGAAGAGCATGTAGCCCTGAGTATGCAAGGGGAAGCCCTTAGCGCTGACTGCAGAGATCATCAGCCTCTTGCAGCCACAGAAGCCTGGCACATTCCACCACACCTGCACTCATGCCTGCAAGTATGAGCTGGGACCCTGGGGTGGGAAAGAGGGCCCTGCTCTGCTCAAATGGGTAAGTGTCCTCAAGGCAGGATCTGACCCTCACCAGGGGGCCGGGCTCTTATTGTCTTGAGGCTCTGAGCAACACTAGCCTGCATAGGGCTGAAACACGCAAGAGCAGCCAGCTTGCCCCTTCCCTGAAAAAAAAGATGTTGGACTCACTAGCCCTGAGGAAGTTCACCTCCCTGGTGGTCCCCACAGAGCTGGAGAAGCCAGTTCCCAAGCTGAGGAACACTGACTGGCAGGAGGCCTCGTCACTCTGCACAAAGGGGCACCTACAGAAAGGTGATGCCACCCCTTCCCCAGGGCCATGGGTACAGCAGGTGAGAGGCCAGTGTGATGGTTCCCAGGCAGTACTGCATAAGCCTAAAGTTACCCACATCGGCCCTGCCATGCTAGTCCTTGGCTGAGTCTGAGGACTAGAATCTACTACAAGCCGAGGGCAGCAAGGGGCCAGGAGAGCCACGTGCCCCAAGATCAACTTATCCTCCAACTGCAAGCCACTAGGGACCCTGGTCATCATCTCCAGTGCCTGTTCACACTGGTGAAGTCCTGGAAGAAGGCTACTGGGAGACCACCTGCTGAGAAATCGCCTCTGCATCTTGTCCCCCTTTGGCAAATGTCTTCAGTTCCTTTGTGGTTGCCACTGGCTGCTTCCATTATGTGCACTGAAGACACCCAGCAGGGCAAAGCCTGAGAAGCTGTTCTCTGCAGCAACACTGGTGACAGCCATGGGTCTCTGGGACTGTTAGGAAATGGAAAAGGCCGACTTTCTCCTCTTTGCCTGCTGTTAGCCTAACCACGAAAGTATCTCTTTATACAGAATACTTACAGATTCTAATATATATTTGTATTTCATTTTGTTATAGTATTTTTATATGTTAAAGTCAACTCCAATGTCTTGTTTTGATTTGCAGATGCTATGTGGTCGTGACCTTTGGTGTGGGGTTTCTGTAGTCTTATTTGGATCGACTCTAAGAGACTGGTTTAGACAGCCCATGAGGGTGCCGCACCTGCCCTTCCCCTGAAGTACTGTTTTAGAATGCCAATATTGTCTTGTCTTTCATGTGAACATGACATTATTCACTTACATTCTGTTTGGTTGGTCTCTTTCTCCACCAAGGTGAGCCTATTCCTGTCTGCATTCACCCTCCCAGGGCTTAAGAGCCTGAGGGCTGATGCCATGCCCAACAGTATCCCCACATGCAGGATGTCTGCCCTGGAGCCCTGTTCCTGAAGTGGCAAAGGATGTCTGTCCATCCGGAAGGAAGAAGGGTTTGGGGGCCAGCAGTTAGAACTGGCTGGGGATATGAGCCAGAGAGGGTATAGCACACATGGTCTGGGGAAGCTGCACATCCTCACCTCTCACCAAATGCTTGCCTTTACTCTTAAGGTGTTTGTCTACAGAGCCACACCTACACTCAACCTGTCTCTGAGGGCTTCGAAGCATCAGGGCAACAGATTAGACAGCAGTGTGTCTTCTCAGATGTCCTGTAAGATTAACTGCCTGTCTCTACGCAGTGGTTCATAGGGATCAGTGGAGAAAGGAGGCAAACATACTTCTGTGGGGATTCTGTCACCTTCTCACACCAGAAAACTGCACTTGGGAGTCTGGGTGAGGCTGGGCCCTGGCAGACAAGCTTTATAAGGTTCCTGATGACACAGCACCTGGCTGGCCTTCTTCCCAATGACAGGACCACAGACTTATTTCCCACTGAAAATATAGGCAATGGTCACACAAGCAACACCTTACCAGCACAAGGGCCACCTTCAAAGTGCCCAGTGATGGTAACTTCAGTGTCTTGACAATTGGTAACTGAAAATTTTAGGAGGAAAGAAAATGGGATCAACTAGGGTAGTAGGCTCAAGTGTCTGTACTGACCAGGATATTACCTACCAAAGTCAAGTGAGTGACACCCTCTGAGCCTATCCTTTCTGTTGTCACTTCTGATACAGTAGTATATCAAAAGGTTTTCCTACTGTAAAGTGACAAATGGCAATTGAAACAGCTAGGGACTATGTGACCTGGAGAGCATTTTCCAATCTACTGAGCACTAGATGATGCATACCAATAAGTTAATTCTATCATATCTTCATCTTTTTTTAAATGATAAGCTAGAAATCTCAAAAAAAATTTTTTTTATTTGGTTCTGGGATCAAACCCAGGGCCTCAGGCATGCCAGGCAAAGTACTTTACCACTGAGTCAGACCCTCAATCTTAGAAATCTCACTTTTTTTTGTAGGGGGTGGTGTTGGTGGTGCTGGATAATCAACCCAGGGACTTGTGCATGTGAGGCAAGCACTCCATCAACTGAAATATATCCCCAGCCCACAAATCTCAATCTGATTGTTTAAAAAAAATCCTTAGTTCTTAAATATATATTTAAAAATTGGGCTAAAACCCCCCACATCTGTGGAGCAGCAGTAGCAGCCTCTGAATTAAAGTCAAGGATGGCCTTGCAGCTTGCTCGGTATTCTCACTGGATGCTGCTCTGCATGTTGATAGCAAGTGTTAGATAAACTTGCTAAGTTGATTCTCACCATCCTGCTGGGTCCTTAACCAGACCTGCCTTAAGCAGGGGTGAAAGAATACAATGCAAATGGAAAGACTTTCTACTACATTTCACTAGCGCCACAGAGAGCCTGGCAGTTGGACCTGGCTTGCCTGAGATAAGGAGCTTGAACTCCTTCACTCCTCACTCTCAGGATGAAACACTGGTAACTTTCCTACCCTGCCAAGGGAATCCCAAGGATTCACCCATTGTGTTTTCTCCTCCCTGAAGCTAGCTAGGCATAGCTTACAGAATGATTCATGATTTCAAGTAGCACATAATAATGTTTCTTTAAGGGCCAACACCATGGTTGAGACAGAGTATTCTTTTGGGGTTACTTCTAGCTACTTACCACTTGGTTTCAAGTTGAATGCCTGGCTTCAATGCACTCTGTACCCTCTCCAGTGATTACACAAACACACTTTAATATCAAAGAAGTTTAATACGCTGCAGTAAAATAAGCGCCTTAAAAAGCTCATGAAATAGGTGTCAATGTTAGAGAAATCCTCCCACACATCCTTTAGCTCCATACCCCTTCCCTCAAAACCAAACAAGAAAATCTGAAACAACACAGGAAATCCTTCCAAGCCTGGATTTCAGTGTGGGCCCCATCACCAATAACAAGAACACAGTGTCCTACATGATATAACAGGAAAGTAAAACACAGAAGCACAAAAAGCCTACAAGATTTCAATATTTAAGAGACTTGATACATATTCAAAGTTAAAATAACTCCCACTTTTATACCTATACATATTGTTTTAAAGCAACTTAATATATTTTAAAATTTCCATATATACACTCTCAAAGGTTCTTCAGGTGAGGTATGTAAACATTGTCTAATGAAAAATTTTCAATGTTTCAAACCAACAAATTCACAGCATACATTGAATTTTCATCCATTAAAGACACAGTATCTTCCTACACTCACTAACATAGTGGAAATCCAGGCCCAAGGGACGCACGCTTATCTTCCAGGTTACCATTTGCAGAATTTCTTATTTCACTGCTTTTGGAAGGACTATCTTCACACAGGCTGGGAGCACACACCTGGTACCAGGAAGGGGCTGGGCCCTCCAGAGGCCCTGACCTTGGGCATCTGGAACACTGGCTAAGACTCACAAGACACCAAAAAGGAGCATATCTGAACAACTACAAGATTGACCTCGGCAATGACATCACTGGGAGGAACCAGAAAGACCTTTAAAGGAACGGTAGAGATTAATTTTAGAGCTCCCTGAATCCACAGCCGGATCAGCAGCCCCTGCCCTCACACGTTCTGAAGGGTCATGGCCTAAAAATAAAAATCCACACGGCACCTGAGCTTCAGTTAAATTGTATGGGCCTCCTATGACCCCTTGGCCCTGCAAAGGCATTGATTTAGCCTCAGTTAGGACCCTGGGCTGTGCTTTTAATACAGGTTAGGGTTGAATTTCTTAATATCATAATGCATATGGGAAAATAATGCCATTGAGTTCACAAAGACGACCAATGCTCACGGGCACTGGCCATTGACCTTGGAGGAGCTCAATTTTGAAAACTACTTGTTCCCTGAGGGTAAACAGCAGGCTTCTATTGAGATTAAGTGAGGCTAATAAGGGGATTTTTATTACAAAGTATTAAAGACTTGGGGAGCCTTAGGCCAGAATTCTATTTTACCTCCACATAATCTACAACACCCTCCCCCACCCCCACCACCAAAAGTAGTCACCTTCCCAAAGATACAATATAGGTCAATTTCTTTCCTCTTTGCTTGCTTTCGAGCTCAGCAATGGAAAGGTTTATCCCAATGCACCCACTTCAATCTAAAAAAACACTAGTGAAAAATTCCAAACACCATCATAAATACAAAAGAGAAGACATATTCCAAAAGCCTAAAAAACTACATTACTTCTATTAAAGGTTACTTGGGTGTGGGGTATTTCTTTTTCACAAAGTCTAGGACGGTCACAAGGAGAGGTTGCTTTAACAGCTTTAGAAACCTGTTGAGCTGGACACGCTGAGAGAATTGGAGGAGTGACTGCCTCTTTCCACTGACCTAAGTTAGGGCTAGGCCCAGACACAAGGGCTGGAGATGTTTCAAGCCCTGGCAGAGGAGGATGGTAGGAAATAGGCTAGTTTCTTAAAGGTGGGTTGGAAACATTTAGTTATCCACTTACATTTCTCATGTGAAAAGTTCTTACATTCACTTTATAGCCAAATGAGCTTTGTTTGCCTCAACTACTTTCTGGAAACTTTTATCAATTCATGGAAAATTGCTAACTTCTGGATTTACATGCTCACTTTTGATGTGTCTGGTGCTGGCAGATTTCTCATCCATTGCTGGAGTTTTGTGACATGAGGGAGCGTGCAGACAAACAGAAGCAAAACTTCAAGTACAGCAACCTCTCCGGCAAAGGCAAGAGGGCATTGCAAGAGCTGTTCTACCCCCACCTGATCCTCTGAGACAAGGGCCAATGAGGACCCTAGAACACGTCATTACCTAGGGTCTTATTGCTTAAGGGCAACACATCAGAAAGAACACCTGGAAATCTGCTCTGCAGATTGGGTATTGACCACTGACCAATTTATCATACATTTGTATATATATATAACAGAATCACATGAGAAGAGGGGACAGTTAAAGCTTGGATTCGATGTTACATTTCAGACCAAATGCCCCAAACAGCTCTCAACCTGCTGGGTTTTGCTCTTTCTCCATGTGTGAACTGTGTTATGAAAGGGAGTCCAATGCTCAAAATATATTCTACAATACTACAATGCAAACCAACATCACTCAGAACATGAACCTGTATACAGCACATGTAATAAATATTTTTAGAAAACTATTTACAATATTACTTCTTGTGAACGTTTAGATGAGAGCAAAATCTATTTCTTCCTGCAAAGGTTAAAAAAGTCTTGACTATCAAGTTCAGTGCTAAATTCCCTGGCACCTAGTACCCATTCACATTTCATATTAAAAGCAGATTTGCTTACAAATAGTATCTTAGAAAAACATTCTCCAGCATTACTGTTCAAGTGTCCTAATTTGTTTAAAAAAGACAAAGGGAGGCCATAGGAAATATGCAAACTATGGTTCAAATGAATGACAAAAATCCCTGTAGCCCTAGTCTCAAGGCTCCCTGCAGTTCTCATGACAGACAGGAGTGCCCAGGAGTGGGGCACAGGGACAAGGAACATGACTGTGAATCATTGGTTCCACTATATTAGGGTGCTCTGAATTGCAGACCAGGACTCCTGAGAACTAAAGCTGAACACATCTTAGAACAGATGGTCTCATTCTGTAACCAATGGTCACAGGTGGGCCTGGCCCACATCTACAGATGCTTGCTGAGAGGGAGGAGGAGGAGGAGGACAGTGAAGGTGCCCACAAGTATTGTAGGGTACAGAAGGTAACGTGTGTCTCCCCCATGGGTCAGAGTGTGAAGAAATGTCTCTCACAAACCTGGAAGAGTGAGACTTAAAAAGCACACACACCTCAATGCTGTCTTCAGGCAACCAGTGGTTCCTGCTTGTCCCACAGGAGTGGGTTTGGAGTTCCTTGGGGCTACAACTAAGGCATATTTCCCTGCACAGGCTGTGGAAGTGAATAGTTGAACATGTCAATTTTGTATGGAAGAAGCAGGCTGCCTAAGGCAGGCTCTGATGCCATGCCTGGCAGGGCCATACCCACTGCGGAAGTCCTACTTTGTTCTGGGACAGGCAATAGTGGGGAAAAGTGCTCAGGTTCCAGTCCACATTGTATCTGCCCAAGTACAGTGAGGATTTCAAGGCCACATCCTTCAGCCTTCACTGTGTCGTCTGGGGTTCAACAGCTGAGCATAGTAGTTGTGGAGGATGAGTGGCAAGAATGAACAATTTCTGAAAAGCCCTTTTGACAGTTAATTATTTTTTTGTTAAAATAAATACTCTGTATAGAAGCATTTGAACAGGAAAATATCATTATTTACAGTGAAATAAATTCCACAGTGGTGTGTATAAATATGTATCATATATATTTGAAACCAGTCAATAAGTCTCCTAGACTATTTAGAATGCAGGAACCACTAGTGAAATCAATAATCTTAAAACAACAGTGGCTCTAAAAATAACTCCTACAGGTGGTATAAATATATAAAATTATGCAAGTCTTGTTTGTATATTATGTTTCCCACAAATTAGCTCCCAAACACTACAGCTTCAGCTACAAGGTAACACAAGGTGTGGATCACAAAAAAACGAGATGGAAAATAGGTTAAGTGAACGGTACTTGGACCTAACATCTAAATACTGGAAGAAGAAAAAATAGTTATTAAGAGAAAAAATGCTTTTTATGTGATATATGAGTTTAGTGAAGCACTTGGGGGAGGGGACTATCCCAGAGAAGATGCCACCCAGAAGGGAGTTGATGGCATAAGCAAGAGGGAAGAGGAAGGGCAAGTACCAAGGATGACCCCCCTAAGACTAGGAACTAATTCAGGCCTGACCAGGATCATGCTTCATGGGCCAGGAAGAGTGCCTAAACTTGGTTCAACTAAAGCTGCTGGTGTGCAACTGACATAATAGTATTTCAAGAAGTATGTGAGATCTGGATTTCAGGTTGGAATAGGCAAAGACCATTCATTCATATTCACAAGTAGTGACCGAAGCCTGGGGAGTAATAAACTTCCAATTGCCCTAGAAACAAGGAGCGGAGGGCTCTGGGGATAAAATTAACAGGCCCTGTGCTTTTGGGGAGAGGCACTATTCTAGGCTGTTAGTAAAGAGCTTGTGTTGAGCACTGCTATTAGTGGAATGTCTACCATAAAGTCAAGTTCTCTGGGATTCATAAAATTGAAGACGACTTTTAATTTAAAAAGTTTCTTCTTTTAGTTTTAAGTACAGACTCTAGTAGATATGATCATATGTATGTCCACAATGCATCAATAAATATTCAATCAGAAAAGGAGGTATTTTTCTTTTTTTCTTATGCACAGCATTCTTCAGGAATAATATGCAATAGTAGCTGAATACTGAGATGAACAGACAAGATATCTTAAAACTTAGGTAAAGAATTGTTGCAATGCTAAACTACATAAAATAAATTTGTGCCTCTCTATACAACCTGACCTTGAATGACTACCACGCAAGGATCAAAAAATGTGCTATAAAGGATCAGGTAGTAAATATTTTAGGCTGGGAGGGCCACAAATAGTTTGCTACTATTTTTTTTCCTATATAAACCCCTTTTTAAAAAGGTAAAATCTGGGGGCGGGGGCTGGGGCTGTAGCTCAGTTGGTAGAGTGCTTGCCTAGTACATGTGAGGCATTTGACCATAAATTTGATCCTCAGCACCACATAAAAATAAAATAAAGGTACTGTGTCCATCTACTATAAAAATATTTTTTAAAAAGGTAAAATTTATTAATTCCAACTTCCGGCACACTAATATGGACACTTGGCTGCTTTTTCTTTTTTTAAAGGGTCTTTGTATGTATGTATATGTATGTATGTATATATATATATATATATATATATATATATATATATATATATATATATATATATATATATACACACACACACACACACACACATATTTAGTTGTTGATGGACCTTTATTTTATTTCTTTATATGTGGTGCGGAAAATTGAACCCAGTGCCTCACATGTGCCAGGCAAAGGCACTACTACTGAGCTACAGCCCCAGCCCCACCTGGCTGCTTTTTCAGAATGTTTCAAGTGGCTTTTACACTGAACACCTTGTGTTAAATAGGAGGGTCTCATCAGGTAAGAAAGCTCCAGTGTCTGAGCTCATCAGGCTAACTTGACTGCAAAGCCACTAGTCTGAAGGATGGAGCAAAGGGTGTTGCCTGAGCCCTTAGCATAAAACACCAAGGCTCTGGGAAAAGGAAGATCAGATGGACAAGTGGTAATGGAAGGAACTTACCAGCTCTGGTTCAACTCCAATGGCTAAAGCTTGAGCAAGGACTTCCTCCACAAAGTGTCCAAGGTGGTTCCTTGGGGCTGCTCATCAACAGTGCAGCAGGGCACCGTCAAGCCTTAGCATCAGAGCTTTCTGGGTTTCTTTAAGAGGCAAAAGGACCTCAAGGTTCACAAACCACCCACTGTAAAAGGCCTCTTTTGATGTTTCAAGCTTAAATTAACATTGAAGGCAGTCTCAAAAGGGTTCCCCTAATACTGCTTGTTTTAAATACAACAATCTTTTTTGGGGGTGGGAGTTTCCTCACTTTCCCCCTACCCCCTTCAGGACTAGGACTGAACCAGGCCTCAGTCTTGCCAAGCCTAAGCACTCTGCTACTGAGCTAAATCCCCAGCCCCTAAATACAATTATCTATTGATTTTTTTTCCCCCTGAAAAGGATTTGGAAGCAACCATGGGGAAGAGTACTTATCCTGGATGTGAAGACCACCTTGCTGATGTGATATACAGATGTGATTCCATACTTTAAAAAAAATTTTTTTAGGAACTGGGGTTGTGGCTTAGTGGTAGAGTGCTTGCCTGGCATGTGTGAGGCACTGGGTTTGAGTCTTAGCCCCACGTATAAATAAATTAACAAAATAAAGGCCCACCAAAAAATTTTAAAAAAAGGACTGGGGTTGTGGCTCAGTGGCAGAGTACTTGCCTACCACGTGTGAGGCACTGGGTTCAATTCTCAGAACCACATATAAATAAATGAATAAAATAATAGTCCATCAACATCTAAAAAAATTAAAAATTTTTTATTTCAGTATTTCAATGAATATCAAGCTGTAATCAGACATAAAAGTAACAGCTAAGAATTAAAAAGAATTGGGGTGGGTTGTATATCAATGGTAGAGTACTTGCCTAGCATGTGCAAGGCCATGGGTTCCAACCCTTGCATTGCAAAGGGGGAAAAATTAAAATAATAAATGTTTCAAAACAACTGAGACCATCACTCCTTAGGGGCCACTGACAGAATTTTTTCACTGGCTGAGCATGAGTGGCACATGCCTATAATCCCAGAGGCTCAAAAGGCTGAGGCAGGAGGATTGCAAGTACTAGGCCAGCCTCAACAACTTAAAGGCCGTAAGGAGCTTAGTGAGACTCTGTCTCAAAACAAAAAGTTAAAAGTTGGGAATGTAGCTTAGTAGCAGAACAATCCTGGGTTCAATCCCCAGTACCACCCCCACATTAAAAATTTTTTTCTAACATGATTTTCCACTTCATTTGGAAGAAACTTACCCTTGAGTTTTGGGGGAAGGAGAGGACTACCACCTTGGAAGTGACTGGATTTGGTTTAAAGATATTATTCCCAAGCCTCTCAGTCACATTCAGTATGCAGTATGTTCCAATTTTTCATCATTTTTTTCAAAAGCACTTCAAAAGCCTCTAGTTTTATTTGTTGTCTTACTTTAATATAAAGTTAGTTTGAGAGTATTTGACTGAAAAGTTATTAGTGCCAATAATTTTTATTTTTCAAAACCAAAATCAAACTTAAAAGTAAACAGTGCTTTGGGTCTGTTGTGAGATTTTGTTTCTATTCTATGAAAAGGCTTTTCCTCACATCTAAACAGGATGTATGGAGGACTGAGGTCCAACTGAAGTACTCTCAACTAATTTTAACAGAACAAAGTCATGGCTTATCTTAATAAAAAAGAAGCGTGGCCACAGTCAGTTCTCTGATTACATACTATGTGAGTGAAATGGGAGGCTGGCTCACATACTTTTGGAACTCTTAATCCTAATTTGCTCATGGTTTTGGCCTCACTGTGGTTCTGTGATGGGTGATTAAAAGGAAGATTCAATGCTAAAGAGTTGTAGTAAAAAGGGATGGCAGCCCCTGTGCTGTATCAATAGAACAATGTCTCATTTGCTACAGGAAACAAAGAACTTTGTAAGAATGAAACTGATGGGGCTGGGTTGTAGCTCAGTGGTGGAGCGCTTACCTAGCATGTGTGAGGTGCTAAGTTCCATCCTCAGCACCACATAAAAATAAATAAAATAAAGGTATTATATCCAACTACAACTAAAAAAATATTTTTTAAAAAATGTCCTTTCCTACTAGACTCTCAGGCCTACTAATCAATAGAAATGCTGCCATAAATGAGTGACAGTTTCTACCCTTCAATTGAATCCATCACAAGGTGGGAAAAAGGCCAAATCTCAATTCAAAGAAGCTGTTTTGAAATGATGCCTTTCATTACTGACCTATCTGAACAGTGAGAAATTCACCTGAAGAGTATGTGATGTGCAGAGGATCCCATGAGAAAGCATGGTATATGTAAAGAGATGACTACAGATGTCTCTTCTCTCTGTAACATCATAAAAGGATGAGGCACAAAACCGTTTTAGGGAAGACTACATAGAACTCTTTAATAAGGAATCTCAGGGGCTAGCAACTGCTGATTATAGATGCAAGTTAACACTCACAGGTAGGAAGTCTCAGAAGTGCTAGGGGCAAGGCTCTGGACCCAACTGAGAATGTAGACTACACCCAGGGAGCCTCATGGGATAGAAAATGGTCTAGAGGAGGCCCAGCTTTGGGGAAGCTATGGTAGTTTTACGGGTGGTTTCTTAGGGATCTTCCAGTTCCCCCAGAAACTCAGAGGAAATATAATCCTCTGGTGTTCAACTTCAGCACTGGGACAGTCACTTCACTGAGGGTAGGCCCAGGAACAGAATTCCTCTCAGATTTGGGGTCTAGACAAGACTGCCTTTACATCTGGTGGCAAGCCAAAAATGGCTACGGGAAGGTCTCTGAAGAGGAAGGCAAACAAGGGGAGACTAGAATCAATACCAAACGTGGACTTGGAGATATCTGGGAGATAACTTTTCAAGAATCTGCTATAGGTACAAAGGGCCTTCCAGAGTTGGCCCTGGAGTTTTTGTTTTCTTTCTTTTATTAGCAAAACTAACTGAATCAACAAGAATCAGATTTAACAAATAGGAAAACAAGTCTAAACTTTTAAGTGTCCTAATTGTGTGGCATCTCAATCTGTTTAACTGTAGTTACTACTATGAAAGATGAGTTGATTCTAAAAATGATCCATTGCACTGCTAAGTGCATCACAAATACATCAACACTTCCTCAAATACAGCCTAGAATGAGAAAGTTATTACCTTAAAGTGAGCTTTAAAAATAAAAAAAGAACTTAGAAAAGTAATGGAATGAATTACAAACTTGGAACTGGAAAAATTCCATCAACTTACTACCTCACTTCTCTCCCTAACCTAATCCAAGCACCTTACAAGGTAGTCTATAAGCAGTCAAGGGGCACCTCTTATGTTCAGGAATCAGCACACCTGACAGTGGCAAACATCAGTTGTTTAAGTCACCACAAAAACAATATCCAGTGACAACTATATGAAAAGATATTTTTTAAACCTTAAAACCATTTTTAAGATTAAATGGATGTATTGAAAACATAGTAATGCTTTTGTGCAACTTAGTGCTGAGAAAGGGATGCCAGCAACACACTCCACAGTTTCATTAATACAGGTAGCTTTTGAAGGGCCAAGGTGGGGAGGGGTGGAGGCTTCATTAAAGACAGCAAGCTTCATTTTCTCTGAAATTCAACACAATTCCCTATTTCTCATAAATCACATGCTTTTCTCCAGTCCTATCCCATCATCAGAGTTTCCTATATACAGCAAATCTTTAACAGAATGGGCATATGACCTGTTTTATCATGATTTGAATGAACAAAAGTAAAAAAGTCAAAAAAGTCCATCTGAGTTAATCTAAAGAGATCTGGAAATTTTTTTTTTTAAAGTAATCACAGGGCAACATCTATCCACACAAGCCTATTCTGGTGACAAAATATGTTAAGGAAGTTGACTGAGGCTTAAACAACCCAGCCTGTTTGCTGGTGGCCCAATGGAAATGTCAAGTACACACTGTGTTATGAGAGAGCAATGTCACAGGCACTGAGTAAAGCCAATAGGCCTATCTGGGCTTCACTGGGGAGAGGTAAACAACATCAATTACAAATATTACAGCTCTCACTTCTGAGTCATGGGACAGAGAATGACATGGCATGGGGAAGAACAATACTATAAGCATTTAATCCCCAGGATGGTGCTAACATAAATGGATATCTACTCAAGAGCATCCCAGCTGAACCTCAGCTCTGGGGGCAGGGGTGTAGAACCACTAAGATGCTTGGGCAGCTGCTTCCAGATGCCAGGGTGCTCTGACCTCTACATAACTGTGCTATTCAACACCTCTCTCAGCCTGGTGCCACTGTGGTATGTCCATGGAAACCCTGGGTCATTAAAAAACCGTCTAGTTTGCGCTAATTATTCAGCTCATGTACACACTGCACAAAGAAGAATTTTACTGTAAAACCAGGATCAGGAGACATTTGCAGCTGATAACCACATGCAAATGCACCTGGATGCACATGCACACACACAAACATTCCTGTTATGGAAAATGATATTTTGGCTTTCTCTGAACAGGGAAGTACTGTGGATAAGAAAGGAAATAAGAATAGCTACTCTCATCCTAATTGTCAAATTACAGTTATGGTATTTAAAAAATTATTTTTCCTCCCAAAACAGAAGGAAAACCTTATTAGCATGCTAGTAAGCTTGCAAAGCCAAAAATGAAAAAGAGGATGCTAAGAATCAGTAATACAATTTGGGAATGCAAATAATTTTCAGAATTCAAAAACCAGAATTTACACTTGTGACACATCATTTGTCCCAAGGGCACATAATTTAGAGAACATGTCAAATGACCAATTAAAAAAAGAAAAAAAAAAAAAAAACCCAACCAACCAACCAACCAAACAAAAAAAAACCAAATAACTAAACAAACAAAAAACAAAGATGAAAGGAGTGATCAACAATGAATGTGATTTTTTAAAAAGAGGATAATAAAAAATTAATCTTTTATAATAATTATAAATCCTCTGCATTCTCCACATACCATAATAATGATTTGGTTTAGCTTTCAAACATCACTTAACAAAACAAAACAAAACAAAAAAACAAAACAGGGAAGTCACTGCTGTGGTTTGCAAAGAGAGCACCTACAGGGACAGCCGCTGTAGGTGGCTGCTGAAGCTCCTTTCGTGTGCATGATGGTGGTCTTCTCTGCTACAGTACAAGTGCTTGTGCATCAAGTATAAAATACAAGCCTTTAATCACATAGATCAGCTTTTTAGCTTTTGTAAATTTAAAAACAAAAAGGATAAATAAGGCACTGTACTTTTAAAACGAAAACTGCTTGGTTCCAAGTTTAAAACCCAAGGAACAACCAGAATAAAATATATAACTTCCCTTACTCAGCCTCAGAGAAGGACTCTGCAAGTTCTCTTCTCCACCTGAGACATATTTTCTGACATCTCAAATTGTGGTGTTCTCCACTATTCATAATTTGAAAGGTTTGACAAGCTTATAAAAGCAGATTTAGTTAATGCAAAATTAAAGGTTACTCCTAAAGAACAGTCTCCCCCTTGGCTGCCATTCTTCCATCACTTTGCCTCTAGCCTCCTCCGTTTGCCGTGGGAAGAGTCCAGCTTCGCCTTGAGCTTTCTCTTTCTCTGAGTTGCACTGTTCTCTGGACTTTTCAAGGGTCTGGCCCGAGTCTTCCCACTGCTTGGTTTCCTGTTTGCAGCTTTCTGAGGCCTAGAAGAGGACTCACCTGTCCCCTTTTGCTTTGTAGATTTTGCCACTGCTTCTGAGGCAATGGACTGGGCAGGTCTTTTGTTGGTATTCTCCTTTTCTTTCCTGGAGGTAGGGCAGCTCTTCCCAGAGGATTTTTTAGGGATCTTCATTTTGTTCTCTTTCAAAGACATCTTTTTAGGCAGTTGGTTGGTTTTGTCTCTTGCAGCTGGCTTCTTGGCAGGAGTTTTGGTGGGTCCTTCAACATGTTTTTCTTTGCTGGCCCTTATTGCTGGCCCCTTGTCCTTACTGTCCTGAGAGCTGCAGCCTTCTGCTCTCTTGCGTTTATTCTGAACTTCAGCTTTAAGCAAGACCTCAGACGCCTGCTTCCCTTTCCTTCCCTTCATTCCTTCTGTACTCTTGGGCTTAAGGGGAAACCCGTCTGCATGCACCTGGAGGGCGAGCTTGGGGGACATCAGAGGGTTAATGCACACACTCTTCCGACTCTGTTTACTTTCCACAGCCACACCTAGTGGACTTTCCATTTTCTCATTTTTGATCAGTCGATGCTGGGCTCTGAGTTTTCCTCGAATATTAGAATACTTTCTAAGGATCCGGGTACTGGCTGGAGTAGGTAGATTAGTGGGAGGATGGCTACTTCTATCTTCCTTGACTTCCTCTGTGACATCTTCAGAATTAGGACTGAGGCTGATATCACTGCCATCTTCTGTCTCCACTTGGTCCAGATTCTCTCGAAATTTAGCCCAGAGCTTCTGTGTTTTCCAATTATTCCTAGCAGGAGTAGTTCCAGGAAATTTCTTTAAGTGTTTTTTCAAGCGTTCAGCCTGCAGTGAACTAGGATACAGGCCAGAAGGAGAGTACTTCTGAAGAGGATGCTTGACAGGGGGGATGTCTCCTGGAAGACGAGTATTGAGTTTCTTTACAATTACCAGGGACCGGGTTTCAGTTGTTTCTAAGAACCACTTACAAACATTGGATAATTTAAAGTTTGTCATAAAGAGCATCTGAACAGGAGAAAACTTCTGAACCTCTAAGGAACCCCTACATTTTCGGGATCTTTTTTTGCTTTTCCAGATCTCCTTCAGTTTATCTGACTTGTTCCTGGCTCTGGGTGTTGGCTGTGCTTCTTTCTCTAACTGGATCCAACCCTTCTGCACTTTCATGTACTGGGTGTTGAAGTTGGCAATGAGCTCCTGATTCTCCTCCTCAGCACACCATTCCACAAACTTGGGCTGTTCGTCTACCACTGTGTCCACATCCTCCTCCTCAAAGGGGTCTGTGCTCTCGGAAGCTTCGTTATCCTTTGGTGTTGGCTTTATTTGTGCAGCTTCCTTGTCTGAAGTAACTTTCATAGTATCCAAGGAGTCCAGAGAATGAGCATGTCTCAGATTGTACGCTGAAGAGGTCAATCTCTTAGGCCTTGGTTCCCTTTGTGGCCCAGCATCATTACCACCTCGACCACCTGATGTCCCAACTGGGGTAGCTGGGGCATGGCTAGCATCTTCTTTATGCTGAGTGTCCTCATTCTCTACCTCACTCTTACCCTCTTCCACATTCTGGGTGGGAGTGTGTCCTGGCCTCTCTTTTGATTGCTCTAGGTTCTCCCTACAAGGAATATTTTCAGAGGGAACAAGAGCATTTTTCTCACCCACCTTAGACTGCACATAGATTTCCAGTCTCTCTCCAGACAGTGGCTGGCTGACTGTGGTTATGGGATCACTGCTGGGGAAAATCTCCCCTTCTTCCTTCTTGATGTCTTTTGCCAGCATGTTTTTAAAAGTTTGCCTTGTGACAATCCCACCTCCTTCACTCTCCTGCTCAGCATCGTTCTCAGAGGGACAATCACTGACATTCAGGTTTTCGGTATCCTCCAGAGCTTCTGTATGGAAACTATCAGATGGAAAGCCCTCGGGTGTTATCCTACCAGTGTACCCTTCTCTTTCAGAACACTTTACACCAGGATTTTTAGAAACCTTGGTCTCAGGACAAGTGAGGGAAGAGTCTGAACTTTGATTTCTTAGGTACCTATCTGCAGAGGAAGAATCTGAAAGCTGACTTCTTAGGCATCTATCAGAGGCCTCAGGAAATTTTTTAACTTTTTTCTTCTTGTCCAGATTCTCTTCTGGTGAGTCAATGTTTAGATCACACACATCTTTTTCTGAAGAGCATTTTATATCACTGTCTTCTCCTTCTTGCCTTGTAACACATGCTGCCTCTCCTTCCTCAGTCTCACCACAGCTTTCATCAGTATCAGTGCCACCTGCTTCCTGGGGTGAGTTGGTATCTAGTTCCCTAGTGTCTCCAGTCCTGACCTCAGTACTGTGCTTGTGCTCAGTCTGTGTCAGACTCAGGGGAAGCTCCACCTCCACAGCGGGACTTTGATCTTCTAAGCACAGAGGACTTTCTTCTCTACTGATCACTTCAGGAGAAGACAGAGGCTTACAAAGAACTTCTTCACTACTTTGCCCAGAAATGCTTTCAGTTGTGGGACCCAGGTGGCAGTCCTGGATTACGCTCAGCTCCTCTGCATCCAGCAGGGCAACTGGCTGTTGGTCTTGTTCAGGGGAAGACACCACACTTGTAGTGGGAGCTGAGACTGCAGCACTGTCTTCTGGCGCATCCTCTTCAGGGAGGTGAGCAGGCCCAGGACACACCGGATTGGATGCTGTCATCTCCTCTGGCCTAGAGGAACTGCTGGGATTCAGTTCATTCATCATGGAACAAACCTCAGGCTCTTGAGACTCTTTCACTGATGAAGTGTCTCCACCTCCCTCCTTGAAAGAGGTTATTTCTTTACTAGGTCCTTCAGTGTGGTCTTCTCTGGGAAGCTGCAAATCTACTGTGTGTCTAGGGGCTGAAACTGTAAGAGTCTGCTTGGGCATCACAACTGCCTCTGATGCCAGTGGTGAGCAGCTCGCTTTTTCCTGGATGTGTAAATTTCTGGCCAATGTGCGAACAGTTGGCAGCTCACAACAATCACCATTGAAAAAGTATCCTCGAGTACTCTTTCTGGCTGTTTTACGAGATGATAATATGGACCTTTGATTCTCAAAGTGGCATTCTGTTATTGGTTGACTGATATAAACAACATCACACTGGTTATCATAATCATTTATCCTCAACCCTGAGGCCCTTTTACTCTTCCGAGCTGTCTTGATGGAGGCTGATATCATCTTGGTTCGTGAATGTCCATTAGGTGCTTTGTGTATAGCTGGCACAGGGCTGGAGGCTAACCAACCATCTTTGGAATGATCAAACTGGCCCTTGTCACTGGGATGTGAATGGTAACCCATTTTACTTCTTCCTAGTGAGTGAAGATGGTTCTCTTGCTTTGGCCTTGCATCTTGTTCATCTGCCTCTAAATCCTGGCGCAAAGGTGTTTTTGAGCCACACTGTAGAGCATTCTCTTTGTCGGCAGTTCTAGATGAGTTCTCCATAAACCCTGAGTCCCATTTCTCTTCTGATAAAGCTTTGAATGAATTTCTTTGAGAAACAACATAGCTATTGCCCTCCTCGCTATTCTCAGCTGCCACTTTTACTCCAAGGAGACTTTCCACTAAAGCTGAACTCTGCATATGGTCTTTACTGTCCTCACATGTTTTCATATTTGTGTCTTGCTCCTTTCCAGTGGTTTGCCCCTCCAAGCTTTTAGAGATGTGGTGGAAGTTCTGTGAGGAAGAATTAGACACAGTGAGGTATCCCAGAGTGGAACTATCTGTTGAACTGCTAGAATTAGGTTGAGTGGCTGGAAGTTCGGAGGAATCTTTCTGGACAACAGTCAAGGCATTCTCTCTTCCATCTACAGAGTTTGTCTCAGGAGGAGGTTCCTTCAGGGTCTGTTCTGTGATATGCACAGAGCTGTGAGAGCCGGATGAGTCTACAAACAAATCTACAGAAGTAGGAGACTTCCTATCATGACACATAGCATCCTTTTCCCTATGGCTGCTGCTTAGCTGGGCACAGCCAGCGTTGCAAATGGATGCATCCATTGCTCCAGAATCCAAAGGTGGTAGGTCCTCGATGCCTGGCTGAGATTCAGTGTACAGGTCACTCAGAACACGAATGAATTGCTTCTGATGATGAGTACACAGTTTGACCATAAACTTCTCCAGTGGGGACTTCGACTGATTGTTAGAATCTACTGCTAGAGTTTCTGTTGAATTCTCACTAGATGAACAAAGAGAAAGAATTAATTAGTAAGGTCATTTTCCAAAGCATCATTTTACATTATGAATCTCACCAGATGTTACTCAAATTGTAAAGAGAGTACAAAGAGAAGCCAAAATGGCTTCAAAGTCCACCATTTATTTTTGTATGATTCCATAAAGAATATTTACCTAATGATAAGGTCAGCCTGTTATAGTCTCAATCTTTAAGGAACAACATATTTCATAATTTTATGTGACCATACAGATTTTTTAATCATGAGAAGAAATACTGAAAAAAAGTTCTTTTCTTTAAAAAATATAATTTTGATCACACTATAATTTCTCTTGGTCAACATATTCAGGTTGCACATCCCTAATCCAAAAATTGTAAACACTTTAAAATATGAAACTTTTTGAATGCTGCATGGCAGCACAAGTAGAAAATTCTACACCATGAATCTATATTTTATGTACAAAATTATTAAGAATGTTGTATAAGATTATCATCAGGCTATGTATATAAGGTATACATACATGAAACAAATGATTCTGTGTTTAGACTTGGGTCCCACTCCCAATACATCTCACATACATGCAAGTTTCCAAAATCTAAAAATATTCAAAATCCAAAACATTTCTGGTCCCAAGCATTTCAAATAAAGGATACTCATGTGGTAATTTTACTGGAGGCTATGTATTCCTGTTATGCAATCGTTAAATCTACAATACTGACAAAAATTTAGATATACTATATTAAAAATCTTAGTTTAGAAGTTGAGAACTTAATAGTTTTAAAATTATCTCTTAGCAAAACGGATTGGGTGGATAATTATTAAGTGATGGTGGAAACCTTTAATCCCTTTCCTGGGTCATGGATGAACAGGAAACCAATAATTTTATATTTCAGATATGTTAAATGGTGGAATGACAAGCAAGTACTGATTTCTAGCCTTCAAGTGAGAAAACAGATGTAAAACCACACCGAGTTATAAAGCTCTGTCAATGCAAAGTAGTAGGACTGTCTTCATACACTCCTAGCTAACACATCTCTTAGTACTTTGCTAAACATTTTTACAGTCACCTACAAGAAGTCACTCTACATTAAAGAATCCCTTTCAAACATTTTCCTCCTAAGTCATCTAGAATGAACTCTCAGAGCTTATCCCACATAGTAGGGATGTTGGGAAAGGAAGATACTGGACTTGAGACACTCCAGGCAGTGCTGCACAGACAGCCAAGGGTTTCACTAGCTGCTCTGTGTTTCTAGATATCTAGGTTTTACTGAGCCTGTGCAGAGAGAGAGCTCCAATGATCTGGAGTTTGACAGAGCAACTCTTAGAAGACTCACTTCTACCTTTAGTAAGTGTGTATTTCTACTTACTTGCTGAGAAACCATATCCCAAGTGCTAGAAAGTACCTAAAGTAAAAATAAATATCTCTGAATGAGGGCTTTAGGAATAGTTTTATTATAGGTACACAGATTTTCGAAACTCCTTTCTCTTTTTTTGGATTGTGATTCCGCATAAGACTATCACTTGACTATATATGAACTATGGCAGAGAACTGAGGGCATTTTATAAAAAGATGTTTGATGATATCTCCTGGAGAGGGGGAGAAAGAAATGATTCTTCTTTGTTCAAGAAACACATTCATAACCCAAGTCTTTGCAAAAATCTTCTGGATTATGCTTCATGCCTGTGCTTATGTTCTGGAAATAAGTTTTGGTATTTGAGTTTAACATGCCTAAAGATGAATGAAATCAAGGCATGTACCCAATGAAAGGACAAAGCACTTCCTGAAGGAAAGTAGTAAGGAGGTGTTTTCCTCTAAAATGATGCTCATATAGAATAAAAAACTGTATAACAACAAATCCACAGGTGACATCCAACTCCTTTATGGTTGAGACTGGATCTGCTGCTGTCCCATATTTCAATAATTTAACCTTGTATTTTTATTACCCTTAACTAAGGTTTTCTAAAGGGTCATGCAACCAGGTGATGACTATAGCAATATGACTCAAGTTAATCCCCAACAGACAACTAAAGATGTATGTATTTCATAGCCTCATGGCCCAACTGTGTCTTCTTCACTAAGATACACAGAAACACTAAGACCCACTGAACTCTAACCAAGAACAACACAGTACAGTCTTCAGGTATTGAAAAACAGCATCAGAGAGGCTGACACATTCTATCCATGTCAACCTTAAGTGCCATTTAGAGCAGTGGTCTGCAGAAGCCTAGGAGATGAAAACTGAAATGGCAACACTGACAGGCAATGATAATAAGAGTTCTTTGCATGTTTTCCTGCTAAGAAGGATTGGAAAAATACAGTGGTGAACCACAAGTCATCAGAGCAAGTAGTAGGCTGCTCTTACCAGATCATTACTGGTCGGCTCAAAACTATTCCACTTGGACTGATTATATCCTTTCCTGAAATCCTGAGTCACAATGTTCTATAAAGTTCACTGGCAATTATATGGGGTCTTGTGTATTTATCCCGCAATTTTTATTTTTTTACTGACTTAATTTGTCTTAGCTTCCCAAGCAGACATGAACCACTTGAGTGTAGGTAAGGACCACATTTTAGGACAAAGCACTTCCTGATATGAAATCACACTGTGATTTATAAAGCTCTGGCAATGCAAACTAATAGGACTGTCTTCCCTAGCAAGAAGGAAGAAGAGAAAAGGGGTATCATGGTTGCTTCCGGCATTTTCTTCCTGGGCAGCAGCATTTACTGAGCCAGGAACATAAGTGACACAGCTGGTAACTGGTGGTCATTAGATGTGCACATGTCTGATGAGTTCTGTTCAAACTGAGTTGTGATGTTCTTAAAGTTCTGAATCTGAGATGTCTGGTGGGCCATCTGGACACATAGGCACTAGCCCAATGGGAGCTGAGCTTAATTGCTGAGAGCCTTCACATTAATTCTAACCTTTGTCCAGATGTCATTAAAGGGCCCTGTTGTAACAGCTAACTTTATAACTATAGTAATAAAACCACTTTTGGCTGTGCTTCTAAACTATCCGGCTTTCTACTTTTTTTCTAAAATTTTTCTCAATAGGACCTAGGCTTAGATGGATTTTAATTTCTTATCTTTAGAAAATTTAATCTTTAAAGTTAGAAGTTTAATTCTATTTTTCCATGGTTTAGAAAAATGGGTAGTAGCCAGTTCTACCTAAGTTTCAAACAGCTGGTCTTTACCTCTGCTTTTAAATTATTCACTTTTCCTTAGGTCTTTAGTGAAGCCTAAGGGTAGCACTCACATTAATTTAGTTTACTCTCTGGAACTAGCAGGGAGTCCAGAGAGGTGATTTTCTGTCCTGTAGACCATTTCCTCACCACCACCTAAGGAGAAGCACAATGTTTGAGTTCAGCGATTATAGTTTGTATTGTATTGTGTCCTTCATGTCTGACTAAATAGATCTTTACAAGAACAAAAATTCATCACAGATGTAATCACTTGTGAGAGTTCACATTTCTTCTGCTCAACAAGAGAACTCTGTAATAGCTAAGTGAATTATTTATCAAGCGAAATACTTGAACACCACCATTAAAGTGTACTCAGATCAGAGGTATTGGTAAATTGGAGGAAGGGCTATAAAAGAGGGGGAATCTGACTTCCAACTACCTGAATTAGTTTTGAGTTTATCTCCTTGGTGAGAAATGGCTTGCATGACCTTGCCCATCCTGTCTTTCTATCTTCAGCTTAATGCCTAATTCCGAAGGGTGTGGTAAAAGGATAAGATAATATTCATAAAAACTTTAAAAGGCACAGTTCAAGAGTGATGTGTTGTTTCACAACCATATCTTTAATGATTTACTCAATGATGTTTTTCTAGATCAGAGGTTAGACAGAGTTGAACTCGCCTACTTGGTCAATATTGCAATACTTAAATTCCTGAAGGAAAGCATTCCTGTGGTTAATATAAATGTTGGAAGGTCCATACTTATATTAGGTAAAAGACAGATTAAATAGAGAAGATATATGGCAGAGAGCTGAACTGACAAGTTTAAGAATCTAGAACTTGAGAGTGATGAATTCAGGTACTTTTTAAAATACCTACTGGTAACCTGCCAGTAAAACTGCTTGATGCGCAAATCAGCATCACTGGGGACCTAAATATATTCTTGACGGAACAAGACCAACATCAATAGTGAAGGACACTGAAGGGGAGACAAAGTTTAGACAGACTATAGTTAAAAGTGCTAAATTAAGCTGGGTGCAGTGATGCATGCCTGAAATCCCAGCTACTTAGAAGGCCCAGGCAGAAGGATAATCAATTTGAACCCAGCCTGGGCAATTTAGAGAGACTCTTAAAAAAAAAAAGAAGGGTGGGGCTATAGCTCAGGGGTAGAACTTTTGTGAGCATGGCCATGAGTTCACTCCCCAGATGCCTATGCCACAAACTAGTAAATGAATTTGGCTTAACTCTTTAAAGGAAACCTAAAACATATCCCCAGTCCCTGCTTCAAGACATACAAGCTGTATTTTTTGCCAGACATTAAGCTAAATGATGCTTTCTACTTTTTCCCTACTGGTGTTCTAAGTCTACCCTTGGGCGAGGTGAGTGTTCTGACAAGTTCTTGCTCTAACCTGGGAAGTACATCTGCATATTTTCCATATAAGGACACAGGATAGTCCAGGGACTATAGCAGAACTGGGTATATATAGTAGAGAAGGTGGGCATGGATGTGGAAATGTTTTTTTTTACTCTCTACGAAACCATGTAGAGTTGTATTTCTAAACCACTGACCAAGTCTTCTTTGCATGGTTAGGAGAAAACAGTAAAAGTGTGGGCAAGAGTGACACAGAAAAGCTAGAAACAAAGCTTATAAGGCCACAGAACAGAAAGGGATCTCTTAAGTTACGTCCAGTGATACATGCCTATAATCTAAGCTACTCAGGTCTTTAAAACCTGCTTTCCAGGTGGTTAAAATCTAAATAATCTAAATTTGTATTTAGATAGACTAGACAGATTTAGTTAGAAAAAAACAATTCTCAGATTAGAATTGA